ATTTATAAAACTTAAATATGTTTAACTGTTGCAAAGTTGATCCTTGCACTTTATTAAAAAAAAATAGATTTTTCAATAATACAGAAAGTTACACAAATTTGTTTGTTTACCATTAGCTCCGCACCTGTGCAATACTTTTAAATACATAATTTAAAACTTTAAAATAAATAAAAATTATCACATTAAGGTTTATTTTCATCGTGCTATAATAATGTCTCCCTCCAAAATGTTTGGAAGGCAATCGAGAAAAAGTATTCCCTCAGAATAATTCTCTACCTGAACCGTTGTGCTCGAAAAAAATATATACATTTCTTTAGGATGCTACGAAACAGCAACGACAACGAAATACTTCAATGTTTGAAAATTAGATCACTAACAGGATCTAATGGCCTTTATACAAGGTATATTAAATTCTCTTTAAGAAAACTCATATTTGTACGTAAATATAATGGAAACAAAAAGATTTAATTATAATGTTTGATTTGAGGTCGATTGGACGAATGCACTTCAAACCCACCCTGATTATTATCTACCCGAAATCCAGAACAATATTCACACAAGAACACTATCGAGCAGCGTTAGCTTCAACAAAAGTCTTCAATTTGAAAGTTGATGTTCTTTTAGGAACAGTAGATTTAAGAAGCAATAAAATTATGGTAAGACAAATTGATTTTCGTTCATATGTTAAATAGTTCATAATACCTATTACCTATATAAATATAAATGAATAAAATATTAAGAAACCTGCTATTTTGTTACAGAATACAAATATGAGGATTTCCTGAATAGAAGATAGTAATCACGTATGTCGATTACGCAATTTCTACTCTTATTCCAAATCTTCTTAGTTTGTTATCTATTTTAGATCGATCGGAAAATTCAGCACTTGTAAAATATTTTATTAAAAGTTTTTAATAACTATTAAACCTTAAGTTCAACTGTGTGGATTTTATGGGGCATGTCTGTTAAATTACTCAACTCAATAATAACATACATTGCAGCCGCGTTCTATCCTTTATTTTCAATAAAATGTGTAGACTTTGGGACGTTTCCCTCATCTTATGAAATGTAGGAAGCTTTTTAAAAATGGTGACAAAAAATTATCCTGGTAATTAATATACCTATTCCTATTCTAAAATTGCCGTCTATGATCTAAAAAGCATGTTCCAAAGTGAACAGTGGTTTTATTAAAGACAGATCTACAGCCGATTGCGGCAATTGTACTTCTTAAAAAACATTTATAAACGCTTCGGAAAAATCACAAAAATGCAATTGGGGTCCTTTGTGATTTATCTAAGGGCCTTTGATTGAAACCACTTTGCTTAAACTAAGTCATTATGATGTTCGTGGTGTCCGCTCTTGATTTATTTGCTTCTTCAAAAAGTCGCTGTAGAATAAACATTAATTCTTCTGGGATTCTCTTTTAAAAATGGGTATTCCACATGGATCTATTTTGGGCCCATTTTTAATTTCTAGTTTATATGAATGATCTTTCCTTTCAAAACAGACCGTTTGACTCTTTAATTTTTGAAGTTGATAATATAACTAATTAAGATGAAGTAAACTGTGCATTATCAAATATATATTTCAGTGGTTTTCACATTAATAACCTAGCATTAAACACGAAGAAAACTAAATGTATTAATTTACAACATAATAAATATTAGAAATAAGGACAAAGTACAAACTAATAACGCCGAGATTTCGTTTTACAAAAAGTGAATAAACCTTTCATATATTACTAGCAGAACCCGCGGCTTCGCTCGCGCTAAAACTACGAAAAAATCTCTAAATAGGTAGTTCCATACAAACTTTCATCCCCTATTTTACTTCCTTATAGGAATAATTCAAAAATGCTAAAAATACTTACCTATTTATTTAATTTTATTGAAGAGCATTAGTACCAAGTTACTAGTAGGTAATTCTGATCATTTTTTTTTGGACTGTATTATATTATATTTTTTGGATTGGATTTTTCCGTGGGAATTAGATATTCTTCATATGTCACTCTCCAGTCCTCCAACTATCTCCGCACAAAAAATCATGCCAATCCGTCCCTCCGTTTCGAAGTGAAAGAAGGACAAAACAAACACACTTTCACATTTATAATATTAATATGGATTGAGCAAAGCATTATATTATTCCGTCCCGGAATACTTTGCAGATGCAAATGTGTGGGATTATTATTAGTTGATACTCACGCATATTTTGTAAATTAATATTTTATTTAAAAAAAAGCAACTGTTGAGTTTCTCGCCGGCTCTTCTCAGCAGAACTGCCTTCAGAGCCGGTGGTAGATTCTTCACGGACTTACATACTGACATTTAATTTTTTAAAGTCTAAAATTGACCATTCAAAAGTGCTCGTAAAAGTCTATTTGAATAAAGTATATTTTGATTGCTTGATTGATTGATTTATTTAACATACTTTTCGTATTCGTTAGCATTTTTATGTACCTAAATCCTAGCTTTTACTAGCATCCGCGTGGATGATTTGAATAGTTCCAAATGCCAGCTACTGTCATTAAAGTAGGGTCACCGTATCTTGAAGATTAATCATAATGGTAAACGTACATATATATAACAAAGAAATATTCTAAACAATTGATATTTCTAAAGAAAACGTTAATCAAACTAATATTCATGCTTAGGTACATACAACTTAAAATTTATTTTTTTATTTATTTATTTAAGATTCACCAGTGGTAATTACATTATTACAGTACAAAATTATGCTATTTTTACAAAGTCCTTATTGCTAAATGCATTACCTTTAAGGTGAATACCGCATGCAAAAATAGGCGTGATTTAATATTATTCTAGCTAACACAGATAATTCAGTGGCAGTTCTTGGGTCTTAAAAAACATATAGAAGATGAGAAAGATATGTTTAATTTAATAGAAGCTATTGCAAGAATGGAGTCGTCTGCGAAATGGGGGCTGGATCTGCACTTCTGGCGGCCAGACTTGCTCGAAAAATATCACATAATTTATACGTTTATCACTATTCACAAGCATCCAGTGTGGATTTAAGTGGACGAAACATTTAATTTTACAGGTAATTAAAAATTAGGATTTTTTATCTATTTTCTGAATATGTATTACCTATGTTATTTGAAGAAATCATTCAAACATTTTACAAAACCTATTTTACTTTAAATTAAGGAGCAACACACGGGCTGAACTCATAGCACTATTAGGGGATTCCCTAATGCTTCAAGTCGCCCGTCGGCCAGCGTCTCAAAGTGAAAAAGAAATATCAAACAAATTTAGACAATATGTTACGAATTTTGTTAAATTTGGGTAGGTTCACTTAACTATTGCTTAAAAAAATGAATTATTTTATTTGTATGATCTGTTGTTAAAAAAAATCTAATGTATATGAAATCTAATTTATAGATTCCAAAACATGAATTTATCGTAAAGGTATTTTATATATAGGTCGCCAGATAGTCAGAAACAATGGCCAAAATATATAGTGGGTGACTCATACATTCATGAAATATGCCATAACAAGATTTCTGAATGCAACACGGATAAAAGTACTAAGGATATAGATTTCTGGCTACAATACTTACCTTCGTTTAGCTAACAGACTATCATCAAATGAACAAGCTGAGAAAATTACTAGTGGGAATGGTATGTTAATTTAAAATCAAACTTATTGACATATTTCATTGTTCTTTGCTATGTTTATTCTAAAAAGAAGAAAAGGCGTGTTCTCATGTCTAACTCCTCGCCTATAAAAAGGAGCGTGGAAGCTTAGAGTCAAAACTTCCAAATAGTTTTAGTTAAAACTTAAAAATATTTTTAAGCTATACGTAACTTCTTTAAGTAATTATGTATGTTATCCTTTTTCAGGTGACAACCGATTTCGTGGTGGCGTGTTAGCAATGTGTGGAGTTTCATTTATGCTTTTATTGTTATTAGGTATTAGTATTGCAGTGATTTATACATGGCGCACTCGTAGACCCCTTGATATCGATTCTCATGTAGCTAAATTATAATTATTACAATCCAATAAAATTAACGGACATGATAATTTTTTTTTATATTTTTTCCTGCTGCGAACAAAAACACTAGTTAATTCATTTTTTTTTTATTATGAAAACAAAAATCTCGACTGCGTAAAAAAACTAAAAAGATGGAAACATGTGACAGGAACATAGTATGATGCAGTCGGAAACATGTCATGTTTTATCGCCTGCTTCCATTTGGGCGTCGCTGCAATCGGGTATAAATAAAAAATCTGTTATTTAAGTTTCAATTTAGCCACCCTAAAATAGTCATCCTTAAATGCACATAAGCCCTGATGTATCCATTCTAGGACATTACCCACAATTTTAATCTACTAAATTACTATTATTCTGATACTTCGAATCTGTCAAATCACATTTTTTTAATATATTAATATACTGATGAAGCTATAGGTGAAATTATAATCTATAATATATACCTACTTTACTATACCTTTAAAGGTAATAAATAATTTTCCTAATTGTGATAAAAATCTATTACCTTGAGAATAGGATATAAATCTTAAAAATTACATTCAAAGCTCCATTGTTGTTAATAGTCCAATCAGCATCCGGTTTGGGAACAAAATATTGAAAACCTGAAGTTTTATGATTATAAAATGTTAGCAGGTATCTATGGAATAGAAATTCGCAAAATGCAAAGCGTTAAAAAATAGTTTTTTTTCAATTTCCGGCTTACTGTGACGTTCTATCGAAAAATGTTTTCTACAAAAGTTGCAGTTCTAGTAAAAAACTACAACTTTTATAATTAACACTTTTTACAGTAACCTCAAAGTTTTCGAGATATTTTCAAAGAACTCGGTTTTTAACTTTTACTTGATTTTTCATCTTTCATTTCTAGAATAATCTTTGATTTTCATGAACCTAAGGGAAAATAATCTTCAAAATAATTTTTTTCAGAAGAAATTGATTTTAAGGTAATTACAGAAAGAAATGAAATTCATAGTCTAATCTTGTTGATTCATTTGTTAAAAATAGAATTTATAAAAATTAAGTTGATATATTTAGTCACATTTTTGTTAAAAAATCATAAAAATGAAAAAAATTTTTTTTTCAAAAAGTTATGTTATGACTTAAATTTTAAATTACCCTTTAATCTACTGTGTACCCATTAAATGCTAAGATATTGATGATAAAAAAGTAAAGGATCCTTTTTCATTGAAAGTCGAATATCTCGGGAAAAAATCCGACTTAAAGAGTTTAGTAAAAAAAACTTTTTGTTCCAGCTAATCTCCGAAACGGCCGGACCGATTTTATTGTACTTTTATTTTAGAAAAAGAATCAGGGTTCCGTGCAAAAAATTAAATTCCATGAAATTGTAAACAAATCGGCATACCTAGGGACGCACTCAAGCGACGCAAGAGTAAGTTGCTAGTTGTATTACCAAAAACTCTAATAAGATGCTACTTATTTTAATTAATAAGCTGCAACTTTTTACTTAGTCTGTGACATAGTTTCATTTGTTGTTCCTGGTCTATGGTTGCATGAATCGTAATCATAGATGAACAATAAATCTCTTCCTTATCTGTGAAACTGTTTATGTTTAAAGAGTTACTTAGTCTGTGGTCTGTGTTAAATAATAAATTTATAACATTATCTGTGGACTGTGGCCAAGGGGAAATGTCAAGCATGGTAAAAAGTAAAAACTAAAAAATAAAGTTGTTGCAAATTGCAATTTGAGTAAGTTGAAAATAACGAATTGAATTGTTTAATAATTTGGAATAATTAGTGTATAGTGTTCTAAGTTCTCAAAAATATGGCATTAGCATTACAAAGAAGAGCAAACGTAAGTCAATTCTTAAACATGTTTATTTTCTGCTGTTTATGTTGTTATTGTACTTATATTTTAATTTGTCTGGTTCCTTACAGGTAAGACTACCACCAGAAGTTAACAGAATTTTATATATAAGAAATTTGCCTTATAAAATCTCAGCTGAAGAAATGTATGATATATTTGGAAAATATGGAGCAATACGCCAAATCAGAGTGTAAGTAATATACACATACATTATATATCTTATCAATTATAGTAAAAACTTTAAAAAATAATTAGTCTTGAGTTTTTCTAAGTTATATGACTTTATATTGATTTCAGTGGAAATACGCCTGAAACAAGAGGGACGGCTTTTGTTGTTTATGAAGACATATTCGATGCTAAAAATGCATGTGATCATTTATCTGGATTCAATGTTTGTAATAGATACTTAGTTGTTTTATACTATAGATCAAACAAAGCCTTCAAGGGAATGGATATAGAAAAGAAACAAGAAGAATTAGACACATTAAAGAAAAAATATGGTATTTCAACTGAAGAACTTCGTAAATAAATACTTTACTTTAACTTATGATTTCTTTTTTTAATGTGATTCCACTTGTTTATAGGATGAACAAATATTGCAACAATATATTTTTTTAAATTCTATAGCGCCCATTGATGCATGGAAAATACTGAGAGAACAGAATTTTATAAAAATAATTGTGCTATTTTTCTGTTATGCCTTTCTATTATATCTTAATTTAACTCTTGATTAATTTTGTAGTTGATTTTTAATGTTATGGCTATACTATATACTATTTTTTACCATATAACTCTATACAATATTATTACAAGATTGATCATACTTCTTAATAACATTACTCGGCAGCAAAGAAGTACTACTTACTAGATTAAAAATTCATACTAAAATTTGCATTTGAAGTAATAAATATAGGTTGATTGTTATTATGAGTTTGATTTCGTGATATACTAAATGTCTTTAAATAATCAAAGCTAACTTTAATTTTAACTTTTTAAGATTCTGTCTCCAAACAACACAAATGAAAACCTTAATTTTGTTATCTCCATATGTGAAAGTTATTCTCTGAAACTATTAGCTTATATCTAATTATTTTTTGCCAATTTGAAGTAATATTTAGATTTTTTTCTAGATTACTATAAAAATATAACTTATATACATTTTCGTGATTGTCTCTCAAGAACCTTTATTTTGATACCCCAGTCGATTAGCTTGGAAGATATTTTTAGACACAAATTGGCGCCTGAAATCTGCCATTTTAATTTTTAACTATTTTTATAGCCTATAACACTCACGTTATCAAGACGAATCTAACAACGTATTAATCATCAAAATCGGCCCACGCGTTGGTCTATAGAGTGCCTTATGGGAACAAACATACATAAACTGATAAACACATTACCCTCCTTTGCGTTGCGCAGTCAGTTCAAAAGAAACTGTCATAACGTATCTAAATTAAATATCCTTTAATTATTATCATACGTTCCATAAAAATATTGGGTAGGTAACATTCTACGTTACGTTGGAAAATACATTTAAGCATACAACCTGCATACAAAAACGTGGTTATGTGTAGACTTACAAAGTAAAAAGTCACTACTACCCACCAAAACCAAAAACCTAGAAACTTCTCTCTTAATAGTGCGTCGTAGCTCGCAAGATTGCTTACGCACTACTATGACACGTCGACGGCTAGCCTACCGACTGCTGGTAGACCACGATAACCAGAGGGTAGCTCTCACGGTCGACACTGCTGCTAGAGAAGTACCAGAAGCAACCCACATGGTACATCTTTCGAAGCCTACATCGAAGTGGACCGCCTACCAAGTTGGTCTTGTTTGTTGTACATCATATTATGTTAGAGGCAATCTTCACACTACCTGCTTTTAGAAAGTTAGGCACAACCTTATGAAAGATTTAACATTTCTTTAGGAAAATAATAAAATAAACTGCATCACTTTGCAATACACTAGTTAATAAAAAATCTTGAAACAATAGTAATTTTACCACAAATTATAAACTACATTTTCATTCCTATTCTGTCTATAATGGGTCTGCAATGTACAAAAATAATATAATGTAAGGATAAAAATGAAAACAACGATTATTGATACAATGTTTTTATTTCTGCGTGCACAAGAAATACAGATAACTAATGACTGTGGCTACCAATGCAGAATGGGGGGTATGCTATTACGGTTACAAACTATTATTATTTTCTATTTTATGTTGATTAAGTGGAATAATACGGTATATATTAAAAGAGATAAAATAAGTCTTAATATAATGTGTCTTTATATCAAGTTTTGTTTTTTATTATTTTTTTTATGTTTTTTATTTGTTTTGTCTTATCTAAACAAAGAGGTAAATGTTTTAGATATAAATGAAATCCCATAATCACTAACAAGGGTTTTATAATATCACAAGAAACATGAAGTTATATATTATTATGTATGTACTATTACAATGAGATTAATTCTGTCACTGACTACAAAAATCTTAAACGCCAATATTTATAGACCAATAACTGCATATATTTAGACAATAGTGAGTTAGTCCCCTGTTTAAATAAGTCTTGGCTACTCGAATGACCTAAAATTAAGAAATTTTGAATAATAATAAGTCATCATGAGATCAGATCTGTCTAGTCCTGCGTGCCTCAAGTAAAAGACGGAAAATGTGTCACAGTTCACAATAAATGCACTAAGTTTCAGAACCACAGCTGTTTGTCATATTTCGCTAAACATTGAAACATAGCGATGAGACAAACTTGTAATTTAAATATAGAAAGTTTACAAATCGAAACAGCAATGAGTATTACTTTCATTAAAAATCACTAGACATTTTGGCAAAGAGAAAAACATTAGAAACATAAACATTAAGTATTATAACGGAAATCAACAATAAACACTAACCGTCTTCATAAATAAATAACAAGTGTGCCTTAAAAGTAATAGTATTTAACCGTTCGAAAACAACATGTTCAGTATGGAAGGTAGTATTTATGTGGTAGAGGTGGTAGAGGTGGAAGCGGAGGCGAGACGCGCTCGGCCCTCAGCCACGAGCTGCTTGTTCAGGTAGATGTCCTCGTCCGTGGAGGTGTCGATGAGGTCGAGCGTGAGCAGCGGCTCGCTGGGGTTGAGCGGGTCCTTACCCACCTCCTTGCAGACGCCCACGAACTGCTGCTCCACGCACAGCTCTTGGAACCTGATGCAGTCTTCTACGGTCCAGTCTTGGTGAAGAGGCTTTACATCTGCAAATTTATTTAAGATTGTGCGATATTAAATAGTTGATGAGAATAATATTGATCAAATATAAGGCGAATTTGCATGTGGAAACACATTCTGAGAATTGAAATTAAGTGTTTCATACATATTTCTTATATATTATATATTTTTGTGAGTGACAATCTGTTTAATAATTTTTTCGTTGTTGCTTTTTTGTTCTGTGGCTTACATGAGTACCAATTTGGGCTTGGTATTTTTAAAGCTTTGGTAATAATATAATAAAATGAGGTAATACTCAAAAGTTTAATATTTTCTAAAATACCTCCTAAAGTAGATATTTAAGTGATTGTAAGAATTATATAAAATATTAGCAAAGTGGTGTCCAAAATGTCACGGTTTCGAGATATTTTTAAATAAGGATAGCTTTAAGGGATTTATGGAAAATATATGTACATAACTAACACTTAGACTTGTCATTACAAATAATGAGTTCAAAAAAGATAGGAGAAATTTAAAATTTAATAATTGTCATCATTTTTATATGGCGACTAATATTATAAACGTATATATTATACGAGGTGGGTCAGGCTATAGCTCACCACACTGGCCAAGTGCAGGATGGCGGACTTCACACGTCTTTCAAAAATTTATTACTTTCTCTCAAACTGGATAACCTCAATATGTTTTCCTTTACTGTAAGACCAGTGGTAATCGTGTCATAAAATTCCTACTCACTCCATGAATGAGAATGTCACAGGTGCAAGGCCCGGGATATAAATCCGCGCTTTATAATAAAAAGTAATATTATATAAGTGAAGTACTAGCTATACTATATTCGCCGAAAGAACCGAGCACTGAGATTTTGCGCTTCCACGTCATTAGTTGCAGATAAGACGCTCAGGCCGCGATTACAACGCAAGTCATAATTAGTCCGTTGTTGCATTCTGTACCGTTCAGACGTCTCTCGTGTAGTTATCTCAATTATAATCAACATAGGAGATAACAGTGATACATCGGAAAACGAAAATTAATAAATAATGTATATACGTATTTAAAAATACAGTTACATAATTTTACTTTAATTTTGATTTTATTTGTATGTTGAATTTGTTTTAGTACAAATTATTAATAATTACTCACTAAAGCATCAACAAAATGAACGAGCCCTATGATTTCAAACCGGTTGCAAGCGTCAGTGGGCGGAGCTAGACAGTTTTCTGTCCCTATCAGTTTGTATGCAGATGTGGGAGAGAGGAAGCGTGTAGTAAGGTGGAGCGTACCGTAGAGCCTGGCCTTGATGGCCTGCGGCGGCAGGTGGCGCGCGAGCGGCGCGGCGGCGGGCACGGGCCGCAGCGCGCGCGCCGCCGTCAGCGCCAGGTCGCCGTAGTCGCAGAAGTACACCGACACCATCTCCGCCGACACCGCGCCCGCCACCGTCACCCTGCGCGCGCGCACACACACACACACAACTATACTGTACTACATTACTAAACAACTCTTATTGATTATGACGTAAATAAATAAGTGTTAATCTTTCATTCTACATAACTGCCCTTATAAGTAATAGGGATACATAGATTTAAAAAAGTTATAGCTGTATAAGTAATAGTAAAATAATAGTTTATTTTATAACTAACTGAAAAATGTAAGCTCTACGTATAAAAGTGAATAACTGAAGAATGTAAACTTTACATATAAAAGGGTATTAACACTTATTGTTAAAATAAAACAAACCAACACATGTATCGTTGCAATGTTATTAAAGTAACGGAATACCAAGTTTCGAATGGGTTAATCTGTGGAAATTGCTCATATTCCTTTACTCAATAAGAGCTGATGGCCTGCAGACAATTGACCGAATTTTTTGATTTATAGCTGAAACACTCAACAGTATCACCTTTTAGACAAAAAAATAATAATTTAAAATCGGTTCATCCGTTTGTATGCTACGATATCGCAGACAGACAGCAGACAAACAGATACACACGTTAAACTTAAAACACCCCTTTTTGCGTCGAGTATTAAAACATTTAAAATAATTTTACTTAACAGTTATAAACATCAATATTCATTTGCAATTTTGAACTCACCTGTACCAGGAATCGTCTTTATCGTAATAAGCGACATAAAGCTCGCCTTTGCTCGGGTTCGTGGGAGCTTCTGACTCTGGTATTTTAGGACACTCCACTTGTAATGATGCCATCATTGTTTGAAGAGTGTGCCTGGTACTATTGGGTTGCACCTTTTATCAGAAAATAAAAAAATGGTTATCAAATAATGTTAAAATATGTATATAACTAGCGACTCAACCTCACTTCGCTCGGGTTCGTCCCTAGGTTGATTCCCCATACAAACTCTCAGCCCCATTATCACCCCTTTAAGGGGTGATTTCCGAGATAAAAAGTATCCTATGTCCTTCCCAGGGACTCAAACTATCTTCTGACCAAATTTCATATAAATCGATTCAGTAGAGCCAGAGATTACCCCCTAAAACGTCACAAACATTTCACAAACTTTACCTGTTTATAATATTAGTGTAGATAAAACGTTTTTTTGTAGACGTAATTTCCATATTTCTTCTTTTTTTGTATTACTTTATTGTTACAACACCTATTTTGGCCAGAAAATAGGTCTAAAGAGGGTAGGGAGGCTATAATAGGGCAAACGGACGAGACGGAGAGATAAAGCTTCATACAACCACAGTGACAGACAGACAGTACACATACTATTATATGTTTAAGATTCCTATGTGTGTCGAATGGTCGTCCCATTCGAGTTTGAGAGTGTGATGGAATAGAGAGTGGTCTAGTGTCTGCGGATATAATTGCACTACAATATCTTCAGCTCATAATTTACACAACTAAAATCATTATTTATTTACTATTTACATATAAGTATGAGACGTGACCAGTGGTAGCCTAGTGGTAACGCGCTCGATTGGGAAGCAGAGTGAAGCAGATTCAAATCCCGGGTCTCGCACCTCTAATACATATTTTCATGTGCGAATAAATCCTCATATTGAAACCTCGAATTTAAGTGAGGCTCGTGCCCAGCAATGGAACGTTAAAAGTGCTGAATACATGAAATGTAGAACAAATGGCTTACTATTATTAGATGCCTAATAGCCTAATCTCAGTGAGATCAATCGCTGTGGGTGAAATCAGGAGGATTCGACCTTAGCAGGGTTGTCTGCAGCTTTGTCCCTGGAGCGTGGACTCACCACAAAGTTCCAGGGGTTGGCGGCCATGGCGACGTAGACGTCGAGGCAGGCGGCGCGCGCGGGCAGCGCGGGCGGCGGCAGCGCGCCCCCCGCGCCCCCGCCCCCGCCCCCGCCCCCGCCCCCGCCCGCCGGCGCCGAGCGGAAGATGCGCTCCTTCTTCTTGTGCAGCGCCTCCAGGTGCTTCGACGGCTCCTTCTCCTTCTCCTCCTCCTGTCCCTTGCCGCTGTTACGTTATAGGCGTTCATGTTTAGTTCACTCATTGGCAACGTAAACGCTCGAATAATTACTAGTACTAAATTATTTAAATATTTTTCATGTTACAGTTTCTATTATATATGTATATAAATTTTCCAAATATGCCTTTGAAATAATTTAATTTTATGTAAACTAAATTAAGCATGCATCGTTAACGAATGTGTATCGACATTGAACGGAAGTCAATTGGATGGCATACTTTAAAACTTTTATAAATGACGTGAATTTTCTAATTGTGCGACATGCGTGGGTAAAAAAAATCCATCAAAAATAGCAAAATTATCAGAAAATACATCTAAAGAAAGTTTCACAATAACTAAAACCCTACGAGATTTAAAAGAAAAACAAATACAATCCAATATCCGAGCCCAATTTCCATTAAAATAATTGCGATATAAATTTTTTTTTATTAAAGGTACCAGCTGAGTAGATGTTACTACACGTAGCTTATACGTATTAAAAACTACAAAAATATAATTACTACTAATTAGGTACTTGGAAAGGATATAAATGAATAATTAAATTAATCTTTTAACAGGTAATAAAAATGCGAGTATAATATGGCGCAATGTTTGCGGTCACTGGTCAATAGTTCATTGACAGCGGCGCTCGCGTGCGGACGCGGGGAAAGTTGCCGTCACGCTCCATATACACCAAAGCTATTGCATTCAAACTACTCATGAATTCAAAACCACTCGTAATAAGCACACATTCCGATTTTAAATCGATTTCACCGACATTTATAATGGTTCGTTTAGTATGAAGCTTAGCTAATGAATGTAAATGAATATTATTATATTTATTAAAATTTACACATCAATTTGATCATTCATTGTTTTGGTTTTAGTAAAAAATTGTTTTATTTAGGTTTTAGGATGACGACACGTTTGGCTCAGTTTGTAGTGTGACCTGTGGTACAGCAATTAGGGTAATTGCTGTACCACAGGTCGCGGGTTCGAGTCCCGCTGGGGGCATTCGTTTGTGTGATGATGTTTGTACCCCAGTCGTGGGTGTTTATATTTATAATATGTATGTATTTAAAGTTATAGTATATGTGTAGTGTATCAACTATCTAGTATCCATAACACAGGCCTCGTAGCTTACTATGAAACTAGACGGTGCTGTGTGTTAATGTCCCAACATATTTATATTTATTTAGGTCTTCGATCAACAATACTACTAGATATCGGGTCGGCGTAAGAAATCCGTCTCGGTAAATATCAGCTCATTTGAAAGGTGAGCGTATATTTCGATTACTTCTATAGAAACACTGCCAACGTAAACACGTTCACAATACCGCAATATTTATTTAAAAGTTACAAAGATAATGCATGAAGAAGAAATTTTTCAGACGGAGTGTCTTATTTTCGGTAAATACATGTAGATTAAGTCAATATTTTACGATTTAACATACGAAATAATATAAAAATGAAATTTTGAACAATTTTAAATCCGCTAAGGATGTTGGCCCAGGCCGGTCAATACAGGCGCGAATTCTAAGAAGCAAACAGAAACAAAACATAACGATTTAGTTCACGAAGCAACAACTGGAAAAAGTGTTTTGAGTTCTTTTGATATAAGGTTGATTTTAGAATAATGATTATAAAACTTATCAAATGATCGTAAGTGTATGATGATAATTCGAAGATTTGTGACTTTATTACAAGGTGCTACGGTATTGATTAGGTTGAAAATAAAATTATTATAAAACTTTGTCTTGGTTTGTTAGTATACAAATGTAGCTGTATAAGTACATATTCGCGCGGACAGAATTTAGCTCTGATTTTGTATGTGACACGTTATCTATTAGTATTGTTGATCGAAGCTATAGGTGAATAAGAAGTACCTACGATCAAATTATAGTAGTCAATTTAAAAAAAAAAATTGTTCAAATTGGATTATTTTTCATTTATTAAAATTTGTTGAGTAAAAAAACTCCTGTATTATGTTTAAATAATGTTTTTAGTCGTTATGATATCACGTGTCATCTAGTGTTCTCTGAAACAGTCTAAAGTGCCATAATTATATACGTAATAAATAAAGATCTACTTTAGAAATAAGTCGATTGTTATGTCCTAAATACTTGTATAACATTGCATTTTAGGTAGTCGCTATCACGTTACCCATGCAGTGATTTAGTTAGAAAGATGATAGTACTAACAGTTGCAGGCACTCGTACTCCATGAGTATAGAGTTGTTGACGGAGGTGAGTATGTGCTGCGGGCCGAGGCGCACGAATAGCTCCACGTGCGGCGCGCCGTCGGCGCCGGGGGGCGCAGGCCCCCGGGGGCGCGGGCCCCGGGGGCTGCGCGCGACACAGCACGCGCACGTCCAGCAGCATCTCGCGCAGCCGCGACACCATACTGCTCGCCGCGCGCTCCGCCGCGCCGAGGCGCACCTGCATCGCCTGAGTACATTACGAGTAAATAAATAAACTCGATTAGAGGCGAAACTAGGAACACGTAACTCTCTATATGTCTCCATAGTCGGATACACGTTATGTATGATTTCACACTCCTAGGCATTTATTTTTCTATAAACATGACAGTGGTGTACCCTCACCTGGTGCGGGTAGGCGTTGAGCGCGGGCGAGAAGGCGCTGAGCGGCACGAGCGAGGAGAGCGGCGCGCGCAGCACCAGGCCGCTGTCCACGAGCAGCGTGCGCACGGTGCCCTCGCCGTCCAGGCCGCTGATGACGGCGCAGCGCACCCAGTCGCCGGCCAGCGTGCGCACGATGCACAGCGCGGCGCCGGCGGGCGGCGCGGGCGGCGCGGCGGGCAGCGGCCGGCGGTACGCGCCCGCCGTCAGCAGCGCCAGCGCCGCGCGCACCGCCTCCGCGCCGCCCGCGCGCGACACCCACACGCGCCCCTCCTCCGTCACGCACCCCACCCTCACCTCGCACGGCTTCTGTCGACACCGTCACACGGGTTATTGATATCATATATCTAAAATCTAACTATCAGTTAGTATGTGTGTGTATATATTTGTCGATCGATCGACTATAGACCTGGGTGATGGTGAAAGCGCCGGAGATGCAGAAGTCGTGCACGAGCTCCTTGTTGAGGTTGAGGTCGCGCGGCGTGGAGGTGTCGTAGAGCACGACGGCGACGGCGGGGTCGGCGGGGTCGGCGCGCGGGCCCGGCGCCGCCACCAGCACCTCGCCCGGCAGCCGCCGCGCCGCCAGCGCCGCGCCCTCCTCGCTCGCCGCCAGCTCCTCGCACCCCTCCAGCCGGCACAGGATCGCCTGACGCGCACAGCCGCAGTATAAAAATCTATCACACTATAGGCGATCGCCTTTCATTTTAACACAAATACTGTCAAGGCAAGGGTTGTCAAAAATACCAATTTTCATTGCGAACTGTTTTAAAATTAAAAGACTTTACAGTTACACCCGTCAACCCTAAAGCTTTTTCTAAACTGTAACATAAAAGTAATTATAAAGAATGAAAAGCTGAAATCGGATGAATTTCACTCGCGTCTAACCACATACGGTCCGCGCGTTTCCAGTTCGGATGCCTTCGTTAGACGATTAGTAACATGGATCAGTAGAATGTGCCAATATCAACATAGATTCTTGTTATATTCCCGCAAAGGAAAAACAGAAATTATGTAACAATTTTGTACTCCTAAAACACAACATATATATTTTTTTGAATGAAGTAAATTCTAAAGTTAGTATAATTAATTAGTCTGCCCACTATACATAACTTGAGAATAGCTGAACGGATGTCAATTTTTTTATTTATTTTTATAAGTAGTAGATTGAATTAAAAACATATCTCGTTTCATTTCGAACATATTAATGTACAAAAATCCAGCTCATGCTCGCCCTTTTTACAACCCTTATGGAGCCATGTTCAATACTTGCAGATTGACTTTAAAGTCATTCTAATAGTAATAATTGCGCCCTCGGAATGAATTGGATGGAATTTATTATCCATTAAAAATCAAACAGCCCGCAAATGGCGAAAATATCGCGTAAAACGCGTAAAATAAACAAACACCCATGACTGGAGTAAAAACATTCGTGCTCATCACACAAATGAACGCTCCCAACGGGACTCGAACCCGCGCCCTACTGAGCCAGGCGTGTCGTCAGCACCTGCGCGGGCAGCTTGCGGAACTGCGGCTCGAGGATCTTGATCTTGGCGAAGGGCACGGTGTCGTCGTCGCCGTGGTCTCCGAGGAACACGGTCGCCTTGTCTTCTTCTATTTCTAATATCTTCGCTCGTTGCCACCCACCGTCGTCCAAATTTACTGCATACCTTAATTTAGATGACCGATACTAATTATAAATTATTTTTTTGCAGAATCTAGTGTACATTCACCTATTAATGTTATTTAAGTTTATGTATGTAGGGCTTAGTAGATAAAGTTTAATTTAATTAATTAATTTTTATTTTTACAACATACGATGTCTCGATACTTTTTTCTTTGACATTAGCGAAGTTACGGGAGGAATAAAATGTTTATTTTTGTATCAAATTATAAAAGTTACATAATATAACCTTATACAATTTTCATATCCAGTTATACGATGTGGCAGCCCCGCACGGTTGTCTACCGAGTGTATACCGAACGCGACGCGCGTAGATATAACTCGATTTCCGACCGTTTCTATGAAGATGGAATACTGTATGTAATATTACCGTAACATTAGTAAGATAACTTACCATGCGCTTTTTATGATCATAGATCTATCAACTGATGTGCCGCCGTGGCTATAATATGCAGCCATATCGGCCAAAAGGACTTCAAATGCATCCTGTGTAAAAAGAAGTTTTAATTAAACTAACAATACGTAGTAAAGAAATTTTAAATATATTAAGAGAGTTATAATAAAGGCAATGAAATGATTGCACTTACTTTTTAGTGAAATAATCATATTTTATATCATCCAAGTAAGTCTTTTTAAAAATAAAATAAAAATAACTAATATTGTAACAAATTATTGTGTGTAATATTTATGTATATACATATATGCTATTTAACACTATTTCCCACATGCATGGGTTGACTGGAAGAGATCTCATAGAGAGATAAGTCCACCTTTGTCCACATCACTTTCTATGTATTTTGTTTTTTATAATTTATTTGTGCATATATATATATATATATATATGTGTTCAATAAAGAATATGTGTACTATTATATAAAAAAAGAGATTCGTGAAAACAAAAACAAGATGCTCACACTATACTGCGGGCCGATAATTCTAAGCCAAACTTCGAGAGTAGAGTTGGCGACAGTTATGAAGACATTCCAAAAGTCATCTTCGGGAAATAGCAACGGCGGTAAATCACTGTCTATCGTTTCGTCAAACGTTATGGTCTCGTTTAATGGCGATTTTACCTCCTAAAATAGCAATTGATCACGGTATTAACGACTGCAAGCAATAGCAAAAGAGCAGTATAATTTTGTACAGAATTTCCAACATACCTCGTTATTAGGTAAGAGTACTAAAAGACCATTCACAACTTTATCTTTTAATATATGAGGGCAATTTTCCAACAGTTCCAACCAATTGTTAGGTAAATTTTCCCCATACTTTTGTCTGAAATTAAGATTATCATTATAGTTTACACAGTGATACGATTCGACTTACATATAAGGTGAATATTTGTTAAGATATAACACGTAAAGGAAAGAGCTGCAAGTAATGTATATTAAAACATATTACCCACATATTATGATTTAACGCCATAGTACAGATACCCTATCCCATACCGTTAAATCGATGGCCCTAATTCGAGCTATTAGTTTTACATAAACATCAATAATAAATCGTTCTCTCATTTGTGAGAAATTCATTACTGTACATTGTACAAGAATACCTATATATTATCACAGTATAAAACTCCACACGGTGGGCGATCCCTTTAGATTTTAACGGATGTGTTGTCAAATGCAAGTATTGTTAAAAAAATCCAATTTAACTCGCAAACGGTTTAGTAGTTGAATTATAGTAGGGCCACCTCGTGAGAGGGTAGTGATACCTGTAGAGATGCGGCACGGTGCTGGCCCAGAGGCCGGCCTCGTGCGCGCGCACCAGGGCGGCGAGCCCGCGCACGGCGGCCTCGGCGCGCGACGTGGGCAGCCCGCCCGCCTCCGAGCTCTCCACCACGGCCAGCAGCTTGGCGGCCGCCACCTCGCGCGCCTGCGCCTCCGTCGGCGACGAGTCCGGGTACGACGACGCCGAGTACAGCGTGCCCACCTGCGAGTTAACGGGACACATGTTGTGACATTACCGATCTTGCGACATTTTTTTAGGGTTACGTACCAAAGGGGAGAACGGGACCCTATTACTAAGACTCCGCTGTCCGTTAGTCCGTCTGTCCATCTGCCACCGGGATATATCTCATGAACCGTGATAGTTAGACAGTTGAAATTTTCACAGATTATGTATTTCTGTTTTGGTTTAGGGAGCGGAGCCCTTCATACGCGAGATTTTTTTTAAATCAAAAGCGCACAATGAAACTGCTATGTATAAATAAAATATAGTTCAAAAAATATCAGCCTGGTGCCTTAAAGACTCGCGTTTCTGTGATATTTAAAGTAAAAACAATTTTGAAAAAAAAATAGGATAGCTAAATGCTAGCTACCATAGTAAGGGTTTCAAACACTTTTTTTTATACTGAGTAAATATTGAAAATAACATGTAAAAAAACCATTGTTATTCATTCAATATCACACTTCTCTTGTATAAAATTTCGATTTCCTTACAAACCCTAAATAGATAGGGAATTAAATGTTTACAATTTAGGATGTTAGGTTGAATATTTTTCAGGTGTATGTTGGTAACCTTGACGGTGCAGTCGTAGCTGACGGGCCCGCGCTTGGGGCGGATGTCGTGCGCCTTGAACACGGGCTGCGGCAGGCCCAGCTTGCGACACGTCCACTCCAGCTTCTCTACGCACGAGGTGGAGGCGGGCGGCGGCTCCAGGCTGTGCGCCGGCGCCGCGTGCGTTATGAGTTGACTGGTGTCCTGAGTAGTGTTTATACAATTGAATAAATTGTTTTATCTACGAATCTTTAAGATGCAGTCTTCCAATACATATATAGTAGTACCTATTTAATATTTTTTTTAATAAAAAATATACTGTTATAGTTTTTTTTCTGTTTGACGTATCATCATTTATTTATAATAAAGGAAATTACAAATATGTATACTTAATTATTATTATTATATATAGAAAGAATTTAGCATAGTAATTGTTCCATCCATGGCGATAAGTAGATTTTTCATGAAATTTATATGAATTCACCCTTGAGTTATTAATGAGCCGATTCATAGAGAAAAAATTAAAATAGTTCGCAATAGACAACGTTATCACATAACATATATAAAAAAAGAATTAACTGCCTCGGTGGTATATTGGCTAACATGTACGGCTGCACACCCGGAGGTCCTGGGTTCGAGTCCCGGGTCGGGCCAAGTTTAGTTATTGAGTCTTTCTGTATATTAAGCCTCATTAATTCTCGCCGGTCGTGTCTCGTGTCGTCCCACCGGAGTATGAGAGTGACAGGAACAGAGAGTGCACGTTGTGTCTGCGCTCTCCCTCACACGCGCTGCACTACAATATCTACTGCGCAGTTGGCTAGTCTCAATCAGAGATGCGCAAACTAGGTCCTGGAGTGGATTGAACATGGAATAGTTCCTTTTCATAAAGGAACTATGTTCACGAAAGATGTTCGCGGAACTATCTAGTTCCGATAGTTCACATATTATATACCTTTCCGATCATGTTCGCGTGATCACAGTAAAGATTAAAAAAAAGTTTAAATTAATAAACATTCTTTATATATATAATATAACATTAGATCTAATACTATTATTATAATATAACTGAATATGAAAGAAAGTTTAATAATAATTAATAAATACCTACTTTCTTAAATTGTTTTTAATATACAGAATAGCATTGCCCGCGGCTCCGCCCGCGTGCAGATGACCAAAAACCAAATTCTTAGTTTTTACATATTAGTATACTCTTATATTGCAGTTTTAGTTTTATTTTCTCAGAAATGAGATATTTTCCCGCGGTAAAAAGTATCCTATATGTTGACCCGGATAACCAGCTATCATCATACCAAATTTTATCAAAATCTGTCCAGTGGTTTTCTCGTGATGCGGTAACAGACAGACAGACAGACAAAGATTCTAAAAACTATAGATTCGAACTCTGTATCGATAATAATTTCTATTTTAATTAGATTTTCTAAAAAATATTTAATGTACAGATTTGACTTAGTTACAATTTTATTATATGTACAGATTACAGCTATAGCTCGGGTAAGCTCGGCAGGAGTCGGTTACGTTCAGATCAGTCAGTCGCTTCAGTGATCGGTCCAATATATTCATTCACTCGCTTCACCTCACTCCTGCACATGTGAAACTATATGGAACTGTGAACCTGTTTCAATTGACACCTCGGATTGGAACGATATCGTTCCGGGCTAAGACATAGTTCCGGGAACTATTTCAATCCGGACCTACGCATGTCTAGTCTCAATGAGATTGGCCGCCGTGGCCGGGATCGGTCAGGAGAACATCATCATCATAAAAAAAGGTAAATAGGTACTAAGTCAGTCAAAAATATGTACGAGTATTATACATTGTAAAAATATAATACTATTTAAAAAAAATTTAACATATAAAACAATAAAGCTTGTCTGTAATTAAGTACTAAACACAAGGAGCCATACTTACCATACAATCGTTGTGTGCTGGAAGCTGCAGCGGTATTAAATCAACCGTATTCAGTCTATCACGCAGGTTTGACAATCTTTGAGATGCCGAAATTTTTCCTACTCCCCTTCCTTCAGTCTCTTTCTCGTTTTTAATGGAATGTTTATTCTGAAGCAGATGGCAATAATATGAACGAAAAATAAATTCATAAAATAAAATAAAAATATGTATTTAAATGTATATATAAAAAATAATTATATATAAAATACAAACTTCATCAGGTAGAGCATCTCTAATCAGTTGGGTTGTGTTTTGAGTTTTTGTTGTATTTATACCAGTTTTATCTTGGTACTCGATTAATTTGGAATTAGTCTTCCCACTATATGTCGAAGTCTTTGTCGAGTCGTTCGATTTGTTGTGTTTGTTATACTAAAATAAAATACAATAAACATAAGTGATATGAAACAAATTAAATAATAAAAATTAAACAAAGTAGTAATTATATTGTCTTTACTGTACCTTATTAAAGTTATTATTGTTAAATGGATTTGTTGATTTTACTCTGTAATACTGATTAGAGTATTGGTTATTGTAATTAGTTTGATAATTAGATGGTGGCGCAGGTTTTCTCCAAGATCCTTGTTTCTTTGGAAAGCGATTCTAAAATATGTCATATATAAAATATATATATCATAATTACAATAAAGTACATGTGTAAAATGAATTTATAACAATGACCAAGCCAATTTAAAAAAAGTTATTTAAAAAAATTAAATCAAATTAACTCAAAATTATGAAATAATATTTTTGTATATAATACGAAATTAAGCAAGAAAATAAAATCAAAAGTAGATACAAAACAAATTAGGGGGCTACAATTATTTTTAAGGTTGGTGCCAAACATACACTTGTGTACCTCCTTTTTTTAACTTGGTTAAAAATACTATTACTAAATATGTAAATCAATAATAAAATAAGTATTACCATATTATTATTTTTAATAACACGATTTTAAAGGTTTCAGAAACGAACCAAAAGAAACACAAAAATATTACACTAATAACACAAATTCTATTAGTTTAATTTTAAAATATCAAATTGCATTCAATTTTTTTATATAAGATAGACAATACAATATGTGCATCTGTTAATACTTAGCCGTCTGTAAATACTTAACTCATTTTAAAAACTTGTGACCAAGTGACATAATCTAAATTACCCATGCTAATTATGTATTAATGATTTTTTTATTATTGACTCATTAAATAATATTAAATAACAGAGCTATTAAAATAATAAATATTTACATGATAAAATGTAAGTAGGCATAGTTATTATTATTTACAAAATCATTCGTTATTTAAGAAACAATGTTTTTAAATAAAGTTTGTATAAAATATTTTTAGTACTTTTAAATAGAATTCTTTAGTGACTAACTTTATATTTTAAATATTTTGTTTTTAAACACATCTTAGGTTTTACAAATAATTATTAAGAAGTCTAATATCAAAATCTTTTTTTCCTACAATAGGCAGTGCTACCTTATAATGACTTTTCAATTTATCATGTTGTTGTAGTTTTAGCTATAGATGAATAGATAGAGATATATATTATAACTAGCGAATCATCCTAGAATCGCTCAGATTCGCACAAACGCAACGACAGACAGAATTTCTAAAACTTATTGTTGTGGATTCTACTGTGTTAATAAATATCCCTAATAATAGTTTTTCTCAAATACTTTCCATGTACAGACAGTGATCAGTTACACTTTTATTATACGTATAGATTAAACAAAACAAAATAAACAAAATATTTTTATATTATTATATTTTATTTTATTATAGAAATCAGCCTGACACTAGGGTAGTGCTATAGAAGAGTTTTCAGTCTGAAAATGTCAGTTACACTTTAAATCATGCCTGATCTAAGGCAAGAAGTACTACAGCAGTGTGTGTAAGAACAACGGTACTCTTTATTCATGTACTTAATATACTTTTATAGTTCCATGAAGAGTAATTTGACAAGACTGGGGGTAAAACTAAGCACAAGCATGAGTATAGCAGTCTAAACACACTTTATTGAAAAAGAGGAAAATGTTAAGCTTGTACACTCACAAGCATTGAAATGTATACATTGACAAGTTTTCTAATTCAATCATTCAAAATTAAGTATCATCAAACTGTCTAATAACTAGGTATATATACATTTTTATCGATTCATTGTAAACAACATGAAATCTAATATGAATATACACATTTTACATTAAACATATGTACCCATTCACCTATGCATAAAAATGTATACATTTACTAACTACAATTTTATTATAGTTTTCTAATACATGTACACAATAAATGCAATGTAAACATTATTATTTGTATTACCATCTGTGTATTTTTGTGTGTAAACTGTATTGTGGATTTTTAGGCTAAACCTCTTTTAAAAATATATTTAGTATTCTTTAATAGTGATATGATATGTCCAGAATATCTCATGTTATCTATCCTAGTTTCTGCACACACCTCTAGTTATATAGAAAGATAGAGGAACAAACCAACAAACACTTTTTCACATTTACAGTATTAGCAAAGATATAAATCCTTGTGAATATTATAAATAATAATTTACTATTCATAATTAGATATATGCACTTACAGAGTAGTTAAATTTCAATGTTTGCTTCTTGCTAGTCTTCTGACGTGCCACCATTGATGCAATGTGTTGTGTTTCCTGACTGGCTATGGCATCAACAACCCATTCTCCATTGATTTGTGTAATTTTAAAACCAGGGACATCTTGAAATAACTTCTCAAGAGTTGAATAGCCTAGTTTCTTAAAAGGGATCCATTCTCCTTGTAATTCTTTATAGTCACCTAAAACATTTTAAAGTCTACACAATACCATGTTACTCTGTACTATAAAAATATATTATTCTAATTTTAAGTTGTTATAAGAATGACTTAAACAAAGTATGAGACATCATAAAAACATATAGAACTACACAAATCTATTAACAATAAAGTAATTTTTAACTCTAAAATAGAAAATTACAGTTCATTCAAGTGTGATTATTAAAGATAATGTGTGATACTTACGGTTGCATTGTTTTATAGTCAATGCCCCTTTCACCGAAATGAGTGTAGCTCTCAGAGCTTGTATTACTTGTTCTTTATCTGCCATATTATATTTTAGTGTGAATCTGAAATGTCAATCTATCTTTAAGTAAGATGGTAAATAAAAAACAATCATTTAAATATATGTAAATAAATATGAAAAAATTTAAGCGACATAAAATCCAACCCTCCAATCTGAATTAAACTATGAATATGAATGAATGATATCAATATACTGTGTGTACCAGTTTTATAACTTTAATATATGTAGTCGTCAGCAATATGCTACCTCTTTAGAGGTAGGTTGAGCATAAAACTCAGATTACATGTCGGTTTCAATCATTATTCTCATCAGACAGGAACCATTCTGTAGAAAAATATTAAATATATATTGATAAAAAATATTAAATAATGATTATAACTTTTGCGTATGCAAAGGGAAATCTGTTTCGCCACCACCCAGTTAGCTCATAAATTTTAAATAATTTATAGCAATTACAGTATCAAACAATTACCATCTAGATTACACAATATAAGATGTAAATAAGGAGAAAATTCTGAAATGAAAATTTATATTTTTTCGTTCGTAAAACCACCACTCTTGGCAAATGTATGGTATGACATTTATGTATGTAGCAATATACTCTATGGTATGACAGTTCGCTCATCGCTGACACCACAGGCTTACTCTTTCTTTTTTCATCACAGATAAGTAAATGAAATAACTAGATATTAAAGCCTAAATCTGGAAGATTTCCCGAAAGAAGGGCACCACATGTATCACCTATTTACGTTCAGTCTGAGGATGAGATTGTGATATCATAATTATACCTGGTTTTTTGTTTCTATTGTGTTCGCATCTTACCTGTGCAATGTATTGTACCTAGAAGTTAGACCAGCTGAATGAAAAATTTAGAAGAAGAGGTGCATCCAGACTGATGGATCAACACACAACATAAACCGCTGATCGTAGAAACGTGAAATTTGAAGGGCGTATTCCTTTTAGGATTGATAATAGGCATCCCATAAAAAATAAGTTTTTCGAAATTCATCTCATAAGTAAATAAAATAGGGGCTGGCGGGGATTCATGATGGTATGAAACTCTGTTATTCTTAATGTGAAATATACAGAAAGTGGTGCTTAGCATTAAGATAAAAAAATAAGTTTTTTTTTACGAAATTAATCCATTAAACGAGGTAAAAGGGGGTACTCAGGTTTGTATGGGCAAAGAATTATTTTTATCAGAATCACTTGAAACTTGGTATTAATGGTCTTCAATACAATTAAATAAATATGTGTTTTAGTATTATTATTAATAGTGTTAGCATTTTTCAAAATTCAATCCTATAAGTGGGTAAAATTGGGGATGAAAGTTTGTATGAAGCTCTGTAATTAACATGTAAAAAAGTACAAAAAAAAACATCTGTAGACGATTCAAGAGTATCTTTAAAATGATATCCATATAGCCTTAAATATGAAGATTGAGATTTCGTCAACTTTGGTCGTCTTATTGCTTTAGCCCACAATTTCTTCAATTTTTGTCTTTTGGGAACTAATAATATCCATCTTCTTTGCACCCTGGCACTGGATAATTTATCTTTTTAGTTAAATTTTAAATAAAATGAAAAAAATTCAATCCACGCTATAGAGCTTTACAATATACTGAGGACAAATAGCGATCGCGACATCTAGCGGGAGAAAAAGGCAAAATCCTTTCCCATTAAAAAAAAAACAAAGTATATCGTAAGTATTTTACATTTTATACTGTAAAATAATTCCCGTTCTCGCGTGTTTGCTCGCGACCAGCACCATTACCAGCGTTATAGACATAGCTCTGCTGCTTTCACTTCCAAATTTTATTTAAAAAATCAAATAAAATATAGGTTATGGTAATGGTACTTCTGGAATAGTAAGAATATTTAAAAAAAATTTTTTTATTAAAATATGTTAAATAGTATTTCAATTAAATCCATTCAAAGATACAACCCAGAGTTTTATATAATTACTAGCTGAGCCCGGCTTCAATCGTGCTAAAACTACAAAAAAATATCTAAAAAGGTAGGTTTCATAGAAACTTTTATCCCCTATTTTACCCCCTTAAAATTAATATGAATTTTGAAAAATGCTAAAGGACCTATTTATCTAATTTTATTAAAGAGCATTAATACCAAGTTTCAAGTTATCATGATCATTAAAAAAAATCGGATTGTATTAGAACGTATTTTGCCGTGGGAATGAGATAATCGCCCGCAGTAAAAAGTAGCCTATGTCACTCTCCAGTCCTCCAATTATTTCACACATAAATTCACGCAAATCCGTCACTCATTTTCGACGTGAAAGAAAGACAAACAAACAAACACACTTTCACATTTATAATATTAGTATGGAATATAAATACAGTAATTATAGTATATATAGTATAGATGTATGTTTCATATATTATGTAGGTAAGCATAAACATACCTTTTCAACTTCTAGTTTCGTATGATATTCATGTTTTTTTTTAATATTTACTAATTTTACGAAATTAAAAAACAAAGTTAACCGTTAATATTTTAATTATATAATTTCGTTATTATATTATTTAAATACAATGCAAACCAATTTTAAATGTTGTTTTAAGGATTATTAAATAGGTAACGGTATTTATAAAGGAATATCACTTTTAAACTTTTGTATCCGAATTCTTTTATTCAGTAAATCAATTCCGACGGATGGTCAGATTCGCGTGTTCTATGAATATTAAGTATTATATTTATTAATACTTCTAATTTGTAATTATCAATAAAAAATTAGAACACTGATTTATATTTTACAATAAACCTAAATTCCATAAATATATAAATATGTCACGCAATATAATGTATAAATTAAATGAAGTATCTCGTACATTTTCTTGTATAAAGACATCATTTCTTTATAGTTTGTGATAGAGATATATGGAACATAATAAATAATAATACAAAGCATCATTTTGCATGCTCTTTTATTTCCTAAATTATCACTTAATATTTTACCTATTTTGTAATGATATCAATTTCCAAGAATTTACATAATGTCTCGCGATCTTATCTATAGTTTCTAGTATTGCCAACAGACTTACATAGGACGCCATCTTGTTTTTTGTCTTTCACAAGTCACAAATCACAAACGTCACCTTTCCTTTGGTGAGCAAGGTGTGTTCACGTGAGGTTGTGTGGTCACACAGAGATAGGTCACACAATCCTCAGAATTTCGTGAAATATTCTTGTAAAATATAAAAAAAAATCACAAAATTAACAAAAATCCAAAAAAATAGTAAAATATTTAAAAAATAACGGGAATCACTCGCCTTTAAGTTAGTGTACGTAAGCGTGCAACGTGGTCTGAGGAATGCGATAGGTAATCGTAAAGAGAAAGTGAAGCAGCTTTTTAACAGTTAATTAATGAGTTTTGTAAAACGATTACAATAAAAATATCAAAATGAATCCTGGACCTCCTAATTATCCCATGGCTTCGCTGTATGTTGGAGACTTGCACTCCGATATTACTGAGGCCATGTTGTTTGAAAAATTTTCTACCGCTGGCCCGGTTCTATCCATTCGCGTTTGTCGAGATATGATAACTCGTAGATCCTTGGGTTACGCTTACGTAAATTTTCAGCAGCCTGCCGATGGTAAGTTTAATTTTGTATATTTTTTAAATTGTAGAATTATTTCAATTAGGTTATACTAACCAAATCTGTCCAGAGAATAATTTTCTAATATTTACGCAGGATATGTCAATTTTACATAAATAATTAACATGAAAGACTAGATACCTAATATTTAATAATATTTTATAAAATAATGCAATAGGTATCTACTTTCTAAATGTAGAAAAGATTGATAGTGGGGACTGGCCTTGAAGTACATCGTAATCTACATTCTACATAATGTAATCTATATACATTCCTTTATGAAATATATTGATATTAATATATAATGAATTTATGATAAAACTTAAGTAAATAATACATTGAAAAAAGTAATCTTGATAAATATTTTTTAAGCTTATCTTCCAAGTTATAAAATCTTAATAAATACCAAACTATAAATTTATGTATTTGTTCTAGCGGAGAGAGCCTTAGACACTATGAATTTTGATATGATTAAAGGCAGACCAATAAGAATTATGTGGTCCCAACGCGATCCATCTCTGCGCAAGTCTGGTGTAGGCAATGTTTTTATTAAGAACTTAGACAAAACCATAGATAATAAGGCTATGTATGATACCTTCACAGCTTTTGGAAATATTTTAAGTTGTAAAGTGGCTCAAGATGAAAATGGAGCTTCTAAAGGATATGGTTTTGTTCATTTTGAAACTGAGGAAGCTGCTAATAAGTCTATTGAAAAAGTAAATGGTATGCTTTTAAATGGGAAAAAAGTTTATGTAGGCCGATTTATTCCTCGCAAGGAACGCGAAAAGGAACTAGGGGAGAAAGCTAAGTTGTTCACTAATGTATACGTTAAAAACTTTGGCGAAGATTTCTCTGATGAAATGCTTAAGGATATGTTTGAAAAATATGGTAGAATAACTAGCCATAAAGTAATGTATAAGGACGATGGAGCATCAAGAGGATTTGGATTTGTAGCATTTGAAGATCCTGATAATGCTGAAAGAGCCTGCCTAGAACTAAATGGCAAAGAACTTGTAGAAGGTAAACCTCTGTATGTAGGACGTGCTCAGAAGAAGGCTGAGCGTCAAAAAGAATTAAAACGTAAATTTGAACAATTGAAATCTGAACGCCTGACTCGTTATCAAGGAGTTAACTTATATGTTAAGAATTTAGATGATACAATTGATGATGAAAGACTTCGTAAAGAATTTGCACCGTTTGGCACAATTACTTCTGCTAAGGTAATTAATCAGTCTATACAGTTTTGTTACAAAATTTCTGTTACACTTTCAATGTTTTAACATAATATTAAAAATAAAATCTTTAATGAACCTTTCATGCTGACAAAATATAAAGAAGAGTTATATCATAATAAAATTGAATTGTTATGCAAGATTTGTAATGAATGCGTCTTGCACATTCCAACCAGACTTTCACAAGCACAAATCATTGATAAAATTGTATGCTTCTATAAATAAAATATAATATTATTTAATTGGTAAACATGCTTTATTATGTATTATATATTGTATATTATTGTTTTTGCAGGTGATGTTAGAAGATGGCCGCAGTAAAGGATTTGGATTTGTGTGCTTCTCTTCTCCTGAAGAAGCAACAAAAGCAGTAACTGAAATGAACGGCCGAATTGTTGGAACAAAGCCTCTATATGTTGCTTTGGCTCAGCGCAAAGAAGATCGCAAAGCTCACTTGACATCTCAATACATGCAGAGAATGGCAAGCATGAGAATGCAGCAGATGGGTCAGATTTTCCAACCTGGAAGTGCAGGTGGCTACTTTGTGCCAACTATTCCTCCTGCTCAAAGATTCTATGGCCCAGCTCAAATGACGCAGATTAGACCAGCTCCACGCTGGACTGCTCAACCATCTGTTAGGCCAAGCACTCAAACTGCTGCTTCTGCCTATCCTAACATGCAGCCACAATTCCGTCCAACACCTCGTGGCCCTACCCAAACAGCACTTCGCACCTCTTTAGGAGCTAGGCCTATAACTGGACAACAAGGAGTAGCTACTGCAACATCTATTCGTGCACCACTTGTACCAAGTGGTCGCCCAGCTGGATATAAATACACAGCAAATATGCGTAATCCACCAGCTCCTCAACCAGCTGTGCATATCCAAGGTCAAGAACCACTAACAGCTACTATGTTAGCTGCAGCACCTCTTCAAGAACAGAAGCAAATGCTTGGTGAACGACTTTTCCCGCTTATTCAGAGAATGCATCCTGAGCTAGCAGGTAAAATCACTGGAATGCTTTTGGAAATTGATAACTCTGAACTGCTTCATATGTTAGAGCATGGAGAGTCTCTAAAAGCTAAGGTTGATGAGGCTGTTGCTGTTTTGCAAGCTCACCAAGCTAAACAGCAAGCCACAAAGAAGGATTAAGTTGTAAGAAATTTGACAGAGGGTTCTTTTTTTTGCTGTATTCATTATTTTAATGCTTTGAACATCTTTATATTATATTGTATAAATAAGAGTCCCGGTCTTAAAAAATATATAAATAAAAATTGAAAAATTAATAAAAATGTGGAATGCGCTAGTCCAACTTATACTACTTTTATAAAAACATTGGGAGTGCATATCTGCGAACAAAAACAGCAACTATCAACATTTCTATAAACAGTTATGCTAGTAAGCAATTTTGACTTTCTATATTGACCATTGATTGAAGAAGTTTGGTTTAAGTTAGTCTTTAATCTTTTCTTTAATTCTCCCTTCATGGAGTTGGCTTTTGTTTCTTGCAATTATTGTCTGTCTTTCTTATTATTTTCTTATCAGTTGTGTATAGGGCATACCTTGTATTGTAAACTTGGTCTCTCTAATATGACTGATTGTAAGATGTACTATTGTTACACATTATATTCTGGAATATTCACAATATTTATTGGTGTTTTATTTTTTCCTTTAGGTCTAAGAAAACAGAAATTAGTAAATGTCCACAAAATAAAATATATTCAAATAAATTTTAAAGAAATAAGCAAATTTCAAAGGAATAAAAAATAGTTTTGATATTATTAATATTTTTTAATATTCATCATCTACTGTTTATTGTAATGCCCTGTAATATGGTACATTTATATAAGGTTAATAGTAACAGTAAAAGTATTTTATTGTAAATTGTAATAATATTTATTAACCTATCTTATAATTACTGATATTAATTAGAACTAGGTTTTTTTAACTTTGTAAAAAAATATTTTTAGTAAAAGCCTAGTCTATGCTAATATATAAATAAAGAGATAGTTGTTTGAATGTGCTAATCTCAGGAAGTTTTTCCTATTTATAGAATCCGATTTGAAAAATTCCTTTTGCATTAGATAGCCTGTTTATTAAAGAAGGCTTAAAGGCTATTATATCAATATATATTCATTTTCATACTAACCGTTATGTTGAACATAGTTGCTAGTTGACCTAATAAAGTAGCTCTATGTACTCATATTTCAAGAAAGGTTGATCCTGTGAAATATTGCTGAAAACAATTTGTGAAGCACTAATGCTTTAAAACTTTTATGTAAGGGACCCCAAGAGGGGTTTTTGGGATTTATTCAAGAGCACTTTTCAGCATGTAATTAGCCCACCACACCTTAATCTGATGGTTTGATACTTCAAACCATTTCTACCTTATCAAAATATTTTTTTAATAAGTCTATGTACCCACCAATACTTAGACATTTTAAATGATGTCTTCGGCGAGCTTCATCAGTTTTGCGTACGTGCGCGCTTATCTCTAGAACTAGGTGATACTAGATACTGAGGGAATCTGTATGTATTCAGCTCTTTTAAACGTCCCATTGCTGGACCTCCCTTCAAAACGAGGAAAATTGCTAAGTTGTACCAGGACAGGCCACTTCCCCCCAAGGTGCGTTCACTTTATCGTAGTGAGGAGGCTCATTATTGTCCGGCAGTTCAGCCGGGCGCGAAGCCAAGAAAGAATACAGGGAGGTAGCCTAATATGGTGTCCGTTATACCATGCGGGTTGCTCCTGGTATTTCTCTGACCGCAGAGTAGACCGTTGGAGCAACCCTATGGTTGTTGTGGTCTACTTCGGCAGACCTTACAGTCTGCAGGGCGTCGTGGTTGAGTTAGACATGGGTAACTCAATGAATTTTTATGAGCTGCAGGTCAGCTCATGAGTCATATGCTTGAACCGGAGCTGTGAACCGGCTCACAGTTCAGCTCAATTGATGTTGTATGGGTACTTATAACTATAGATTTACAGCTAATTTATGACTCTGTTTAAACAAATGACATGTATGATGTACCTAAATTATATTTGTATGTAATAAAGCAGCATTTCGAAAGAAGTTATTATAGTCATATTTTTTCGTTCTTACACAATTATAGGGGAATGCTAATTTCATGCAATTATATCTTTACGTCGCGATGAAATGTCATACCGTCCGTCGCAAAGAGTATAATAATATAGATTATAGACATGGATGACAAATAAAATATAGACTATAGTACAGGTCCGTCGGCTCGGGTCCATCGAAATAGCTGACGTTAGGTGGCGCTGAAGTGATGCACGGAGCCATATTGAGCTGAGTTACACATAGTGAGGTTGAGTGCATAAGCGATCCAGATGTCACCTAAATTAGACGTGTTGCTCGATAATTCAACTAAAATTCCAATATTCTTGCAGATGATAAGAGTCGTAGTTAGAACTTTAACGTCATCGTGAATAGTTTTTTTTCGCGAGCGCGCAGGTTAATAACTTAATGGGGTTGAACTGGACGAGGTTTCATTGACTCTATTCTGAGACCTGCTCCAAGGAAATCTCTATTTCAGAGTACAGATGAAGGACTAATAAGATTAGTCGAATACCTACCTAACCTATTTTTGTTACGTAAATAACGTAACGAAACTAACGTTGGAACATATCTTCTAGGCATATAGTATTATTTCACTAGCAGTATCCGCGGCTTCGCCCGCGTTCAAACTTCTAAAAAACAAACTTTTTGAGACACCGACGAAAGTGCCACCTACCGGGTTCAATTGTTTTCTAACCATCCAGGAGCCTGTTGAAATATACATACAAAATTTCATTCAAATCGGTCTAGCCCTTTAGGATGAGTAATGTTGACAAACACACGTACAGAACAATTATTTATATTAAGATGATCTGTGCCTAGATGTATTATATGTACATGCGGTTATGTGGGACTCACTGGATAGAAAAGCCAGTGCTATCCACTAAAACCCAACGGAATCTTTTCCGTCTTGATAGGATCCCGTCGCAGAATCAGTTACGCATTCAACCACGGCCATCTCGCTAGTTTACACAAAACCGAAACAAACTACAACAACCAAAGGGTCGTTCCCATGGCTGGTCGCTATTAGGGGAGTACCAAAATTAAGGCCGCATGGTACATCTCCCGCTCACCGTGGTAGGCCGACAACAGTCAACATTATATTGTTGTATAATATATTTTAGTCCGCTCTTTTAGAAACCCTTAGTTTTGATAGGTGATAAAGATTGGAATTTGAAATAAATAATTTTTCAAGACAATGTTTTAATCAGTAATTTCAATTTTTAAACATTCATAACATCACCAATGCAGCGACGTGTACAAAAGTGTATGTTCTAGTATATAGTATATACCAATGTACTCTGTGAGACAAACGGTCGGAAATCGAGTTGCTATGCGCCTCGAGTTCGGTAGGTATACACTCGGTAGTCGGTAGACAATCGTCCTGCCAGGTCGTATAATTGGATACGAAAATTGTATGATTATGTTATGTAACTTTTAAAATTGGATACAAAAATAAACATTTTATTCCTTCCGTAACTTCGTTAATGTTAAACAGAAAAGTATCGAGACATCGTACCTATTTTTTAAAAATAAAAATTAATTAATTAAATTAAAAATAAAAATTAAAGTATTTTTATTCAAACTTTTATCCGAATGCGGATTTTTTATACTATTAAATTTAACAATAAAGCTTTTCGTACGTCTCAGTCTAGGCGCAAATATTTTCAATCTCTATACTTGGGCCACATGACATTATAATTTTTAAATTTGCGATTTTTTTAATTGAATCTACTAAAAATATTTTCAACCGACTTCCTCAAAAAGGAGGAGGTTCTCAATACGGCTGTATTTTTTTTATGTTTGTTACCTCAGAACTCTGTCATTTATTAACCGATTTGGACAATTTTTTTTGTTTGAAAGTGTATACTTGCAGATTGGTCCCACTTAAATTTCAAAAAAAAATACCACCCCTGAGGGTGGAAAAATAGCTAATAATGAATTTAACCTACGTCTAATAATTGTCATATTGACTTGAAACTTTGCAAGTGAGATAGTACAGTGGTTCGGTATTGTTGACCTGATCTGATGATAAGGCCAGAAGGTGGATAGGTGGAACTCTTCAACGGCTAAGAGTAGATACTTTGAGTTTGGGCTTATTTTGTTTGATTTAACAAGCCTAACACATTAGAATTCTTACTTTGCTTCTACTGTCTACACTAAAAAGGGAAAAATAAAAACTTTTTAACAAAAAAATTAAAACCGACTTCAAACAAAAGCACTAAAAAGTAAAAAGTAACTGATTGGTAGTTTCCATTTCCTATACATACCTAATCAAATAATTTCGAAGTCGATGCCAGCCGATACAAAGCAAATCTAATATATTTCGATACGTAAAATATATATTTACCTATTACTTATTAGATATTCATATCTTAAAATATTGTCGGCTGGCACCGACTTCGAAAATATCTGATTAGGTATCTAATCTAAAATTTAAAATTTAGTTATTTTTTACATTTTAGTGCCTGGAAGTAGGTTTTATTTAAAAAAAAAAGTTTTTATTTTTCCATTTTTAGTGTAGACGTAATAAGCAGGTAATTTGTAAGAAGAAAGTTTTTTAATAACATATTCGATTAAACAATTTATTTAAAAAAAATATTTTTTTTGCTGATTTTTTCAAAAACCCCTCGACGGTTCAGGCGTCTTCGAGTAATCGGTGAACATACATAAAAAAAAAAGATCCCGACGAATTGAAAACCTCCTCCTTTTTGGAAGTCGGTTAATTATGAAAACATTTCTTTGAGTGCAAAAAACATTGGAACGAGGAAGAACGGCATCTAAAAGTATTTATTTTATGATCTGTTTACGTTTAGAGCTTAGTTTAAAACTACCTATAAAAAAAATAAACGTGGAGTATAAATGATGGAGTATGAATAAAAATCTCTCGATTTTTAGTTGGCAAATAAAACAATATTTTATTTTTCACTTTTGCAACACTGTTCATATATTTGACTGAATCTAGAAAAGCTTTAGCGACAATAAAATTCAGTCATACATTATAACCAAAAAAAATAAAGATGGAAGATAATAAAATAACACAAACTGGTGAACATCAAAAGTCTAATGATGATAAGAACCCTAAGAAAAAGAATAAAAACAAAAAGAAACGCAATGGTGGAGATGGTGACAACCGCGGGTCGGTCTCCACTGATGGAATTTCTGTTCCTAATTCCGGTGATGTTCATCAGAACATATCTTTTAAAGATTTGAAAATGGCAATGGAAGTTCTCAATTTGCAACAAAAACCAGCAAAAACTGCAGAAGAAGCCTTGCATAAGTCTTATCAGTTTTGGTCAACTCAACCAGTTCCTAAGTGGGATGAAAAAATTCTTACAAATGAATCCATTGAACCACCCAAATCTCGTGATGAAATACGATCAGAGCCTTATACATTGCCAGATGGATTCCAATGGGATACTTTGAACTTAAATGAACCTTTGGTACTAAAAGAGCTGTATACTTTATTAAATGAAAATTATGTAGAAGATGATGACTGCATGTTTCGTTTTGACTATCAAACCGACTTTTTAAAATGGGCCCTTCAGCCACCTGGATGGAGAATGGAGTGGCACTGTGGAGTGCGTGTAGTGAAATCTGGTAGATTGGTTGGTTTTATATCTGCTATACCAGCTACATTAAGAATTTATGACCATGTTCAAACTGTAGTGGAAATAAACTTTTTGTGTGTTCATAAAAAGCTTCGTTCTAAACGTGTTGCCCCAGTACTCATAAGGGAGATAACTCGAAGGGTGAATTTGACAGGTATTTTTCAAGGTGTATATACAGCTGGAATTGTATTACCAAAACCTATTGGTACATGTCGATATTGGCATAGATCATTAAATCCAAAAAAATTGATTGACATTAAATTTAGCCATTTGTCACGTAATATGACTATGCAAAGAACCCTTAAACTTTTTAAGCTACCAGACTTACCAAAGACTCCAGGCTTTCGTAAAATGGAACCAAAAGATTCTGAAAAAGTTGTTAAGCTTCTAAATGATTATTTACAAAAATTTGATTTGGTTCCAATATTCTCAGAAGAAGATTTTAAACACTGGTTTATTCCACAAGTTGGTATAATTGATAGTTATATTGTAGAAGCTTCTGATGGTTCAGTAACCGATTTTGTGAGTTACTACACACTGCCATCCACTATTGTGTATCATCCTATACATAAAACATTAAAAGCTGCTTATTCTTTCTACAATGTGTCAACTAAGACACCATGGGTTGATTTAATGCTTGATGCTCTAATTACAGCAAAAAACTCTGGATTTGATGTGTTCAATGCTTTAGACTTAATGGATAATAAGGAATTTCTGGAACCTCTTAAGTTTGGTATTGGTGATGGAAACTTACAGTACTATTTATATAATTGGCGGTGTCCTAGTATAACTCCAAATAAAATTGGTTTAGTTCTTCAGTAACTTGCAATAGAGTTTAATATTTATGAATTATTCATAGTTTTTTTTTGTATTTTCACAAAACAATATGTAGCGCTGTATCATTTGGAAATATAGAATTAATTTAAAAAAGGTAAATAAATTATATGAATAATAGAAAAATATTTTTCCATATTTATTGTCATGTCCAAGTAATAATTATAATGGCATTCTTAGAACTACAATTAAATTACAATTTTTTTTTCTGTTTGATATTGATATTAAATATTCCTATCGGCTGTTAAGTAAGTAACATAGTGCTTATTATTTTATTAAAACTTTAAGTTAATCAATTGGCTCCATGAATTTGGCCAGTCAATATTAATTCTTCATAATGCGTAGAATGAAGATGTTTTAGCACCTGGGCCAGCTTCGCTCGGAGTTTTTGGTCAAAAGTACAATTTTCTTAAAAAAATATAAAAATATATATATATTTATTAAAACAATTATAAAAACTTGAATAAATATAAAAAAAAAAAAACAAAACAAAATATACCTTTGTATCTGACCGGAATTCGAACCCGGATACCTATGATTGTCAATCTTGCGCCTTATCCGCTTGACCATGATGCTAATGCCCCCGCCGAAACCCCCCGTATACTAAATTTCATGAAAATCGTTGGAGCCGTTTCCGAGATTCCGATGCTCGTTTATAGATATAAGATATACACATTTTTATTGAATCCATGAAAGATTATTCATTTCTTGGTCAATTTTTGTCAAATTAAATCATTTGCAGGATCATCTATTATTTGATAAATGTTAATAGAGTAAGCAATCCAGAAACATACTGTAATTTAAAAAAAAGTAACAAAAATTGATCAGCCGATTGAAAAAGCCTAGTCAGTTAAAACAGTATCTAATGTGGACATATCTCCCAAGTAAATATTGAGCCCACTCTGTGAAAATATGCCAGATAGGAATATGCTCACCACTGATATAATTACTGCTAGCTTTATGGAATGGCGATAACAATGTTTAGTTGAATTAAAATCTAAATACTTGCTGGTATTACCAAATATCTAGATACTACTCAGCCGAATACCGAATACTTAAGTAATATGTTTTGTTAAAAGAAAATATTTACTTTATAATAGTATATTTTTCTTATAATCATTAAAGTAGTCATAAGTACATAATCAAGTATTACATCGTATAAGTATACAATCTGTATTACAAAAAATAATTAAAAAAACTATCAAATTTCTATGCACTTGCATTATCATAGGTAATTAAAATTTAGAAGTGACAATCTCAGTATCAGAGAAAAGATGCTCTGAATAAATACTACTTCCTGGCGCCAAACAAGAAACACGTCGATACAAATTTTTTCGCCACAAGTTTTGCGCTGAATATTCGACTATTCGGCCAGAAAGCCCACATAATATCAATACAAAAGAGGCCGAATCTATGTGAAGTTTTTTTCCAATTTTTTAGAATTTTTGTCTATCTGTCTGACTGAAAACGCATCGCGAGATAACCACTGGACAGATTTTGGACTGGACAAAACGTGACTAGGGACTAACCCGACCGGAGCGAGGGCCGAGGGTGAGTCGCTAGTAGGTACTACTATATCTTTAAGAATTATAGCATATGTGTTATTCTGATGTATAACCTATATTGCTGTAAAATTTCATTAATATCCGTTCAGTAGTTTTTGCGTGAAAAAGTAACAAACATCCATTTATCAACCCATACAAACTTTCGCGTTTATAATATTAGTAGGATTAAGGACATACACACCACTACCTAGCCTATACCACTATTCGTTAGGAGAAATATCACTTAACTCTGAATCTTGTTTATATTATACACTTTCAAATGAAAATAAAGTCTCACAAATCGTCCTGAGATTTAGTAAAGTCGATTAAAAGTAATCGGTGTAAACCAACGGTTATCGGTTCCTTTTCTTTTTGAAAGTCGGTTCCTATTTATCTAAAATTTTCTTACCGTTTTGAGGTGCTCTTTAATATTTAATTTTTCTAATTTTGTATCACATTTTTTATTGTGTAACACTTTATAGATAGGATATAACCTATTATCTAATGGATAACATAATCGTTAACCCATACAAAAAGGTTAATCCATGAACCAGTGGCTAATTCGTTTATGATATATATATACCTAAGGTCTATATATATATATATATATATATATATATATATATATATATATATATATATATATATATATATATATATATATATATATATATATATGATGATGATGATGTTCTCCTAGCCGATTACGGCCACGGCGGCCAATCTCAATGAGATTAGCCAACTGCGCAGGAGATATTATAGTGCACAAGTGTACGCGCAGACACAAGTGCACTCTCTATTCCTATCACTCTCATACTCCGGTGGGACGACCACTCGACACGACCGGTGAGAGTTAGGCGCAGGACCGACGGCTTTACGTGCTCTCCGAGGCACGGGGGTGAAACACCGCCAACTTCCCAACTCCGGGCTGTTACTGAGACTTACTATACAGGAAGACTCAATAACTAAACTTGGCCCGACCCGGGACTCGAACCCAGGACCTCCGGGTGTGCAGCCGTACATGCTAGCCACTACACCACCGAGGCAGTTATATATAGGTCATGATATATATATATATATATATATATATATATATATAAGTCTATACATTTAATGAAATTTGGTAGGATGATAGCTGGTTATCCAGGTCAACGTTAGATAGGATACTTTTTACTGCGGGAAAATATCTCATCTTTGAGAAATCTATACTAAACGTTAAAACGTAACATAGGGACTTCCATAATAAATATGTAAAAAAATCTCTATGCTAGGGACGACCCCGAGCTGAGCGAGGGTGAGTCGCTATTATATCCTGTTTTCCATAAAGCTAACTTCGGATGCTTCAACTACAGCAACGCTCTGCTCAATCGAGCAGATTGAAAAGTACTGCTTTGGTGTCATGCGCGCAAGGATATAAGAAAATACATATAAGAAGTGTTTGTTTTTCAAGGTAACATTGATCAAAAATTTATTTACAATTATCGTTTGTAATATTGTTTATTGTTGAACTAATTTATAAAGCTTTTGACGTAGTCTGTTAAAATATGAAAGAGTTAATTTATACTATGTTAAAAAATAAATATTGAAGCTTCAAGGAAGCATTGATCAAATTATTATTTACATTATCGTTAGTAATAGTTGTTTATATTATAATATTTATTAGTTAGTTGTATTTTTTCTTTCAACACTGAACCGAGGGCCCTCTTTTGGTGCACTCTAAAACTAATTCGTTCCAATTAATCATTAGCACACTTCGGCATTGTGCGCCTAAGTGCGTGCAAAAAAATCCGCGTGCGTAGAGACACACCCGAGCGAAGCGAAAGTAAGTCGCTAGTCTTTTAATAAAAATAGACTAGGATTATAATGGCAACCAAAATAGCGAAAAGGACATCAAAGTTTAAATAAATATTGCAAAAAAATATACTGAATATTTTTAATTACTTTTGAAAATAGGACTACAAAATGTTTATACGAGAACTTAATCGCGCTCCTCGCGAATATGTCTAAGGGCCCGTGATATTCTGTTGAGATGTTAAAAAGTTTTGTGTCATTTTTTTTAATTTTAATCTTTATTTTTATTATTGAATGGTATGGTTATTTGATCAGATCTATGTTTATCAGAAATCTGTAATAATTGTGGACTATGCACAATCCGAAAGTGTATTCTCGTTATGGATGACAAATAAAAATTCTCGTCTATAGTAAATACTAAATAGTAATGCATCATCATTTTTTTTATATGGCTTATAGTTGCGTTAACAGACGCAATCCATTCTGCCAGTGTCACGTTTTGTGAGGAAGACACGAATGAGATTGAGCGGTAATTTTGAAATTCGGTAACTTTATTGTGGAATTAAAACTATAAATGAATGATCGGTCTACAAGAGTAACCTACAACAATAGAAAAATAATTACTTAATACAAATATGACACATTGATTGAGAATGAAAAAATATATACATAATGAGAACATCATCATTTGACCACATGGATGAATAATATTTTGACATCAATTGTCATGTCATTTGACAGTGACATATTAGATTATCTGTGATTGCGGTGTTTTCAGTTTTAAATTTCTTTTTGACTTGTACGTTTAGCCCTGTGGTTAGTGTTTTATTTAAATCCAAAATTTCTTCTGTTATCATTATCAATTTTTTAGAAGAAATTAAATATTTCATTTCTCAAAGTGTTTAATTATGTGTTAAAATTAATATTTCACATTGTATTATTTATTTTAGGTGAAGTGGGGTTATTGCAATCATGGGGAAGGGAAATAATATGATTCCTAATGGCCATTTCCATAAGGATTGGCAAAGATTCGTAAAAACATGGTTTAATCAACCTGCTAGAAAACACCGCAGACGCCAAAATAGAATAAAGAAGGCTAAGGCAATTGCACCACGTCCTGTGGCTGGTCCTCTTCGCCCAGTTGTTCGTTGTCCTACTGTTCGTTACCACACAAAGGTTCGCGCCGGGCGCGGATTCACTCTTCGTGAAATAAGGGTAATGATTCGTAATTAAACTTAGATTTGGATATTTCAAAGTATTCTTATAAAATATACTTCTGGTTTTATTTTTGATATAGGTAGTAAATATTATCATCATAAACTATAACATCATTTTAAAGTTATTAAATTGATGCTCGTTTATACTATCATTAAGTTTTAATAATATCATTGGCGCTTTAATAAAAATTGTGATGTTTGATTTTAGGCTGCAGGACTAAACCCTGCTTTCGCAAGAACTATTGGTATTGCTGTTGATCCAAGAAGGCGTAATAAGTCTGTTGAATCATTACAGACTAATGTGCAAAGATTGAAAGAATACCGTGCTAGACTCATTCTCTTCCCTAAGGGCAAGAAGGTAATGCAATTATTAATAAGTCTTTAAAATTGTTTGTTTACATCAGACTGGTAGTAAGATTACTGGTCACTATGAAACTGCACCTTGAACGACATCTTTTATTAACAATGCTAACCTAATATTACATTAACACACAGCTCTATCTAGTTCTATAGTAAGCTACTATTAATGGAATATAAGAGGCTTGTGTATTGGATACTAGATAAATCAATTTGTGTTCTTGTTAATACTTTTCACAGTGAGGAATACTACAATAACATATGGAAGTCATAGTTGATATATTTTTTATAATGCAGAAAGTATTTGTTATTTATAAAGTAAACTCCCTATAATAACATTGGTAATGAGGACAGTATATTTAATAACTTAAATATATATATGAATGATTTTTGTTATAGTTCAGGCTTTCTTCTTAGTGGCTTTTTCCACACTTAGGCAGTTATTGACCATTATGTGTAAGTTTGTGCTATTTGTGTCAATGTATTATTCCTTATAAAAGACACTTTATAGACCCCAACTATTTATTTATTTATTTATTTATTTATTTATTAAGGAAACAAACGGTGTTACAAGATAAACATAGAATAACAAACAATTGATAATACATAACCAATAATAGTTTCCGTTGTTAAAATAACACTTATAACAAAGACATGGATACAGATGCAAAATATTAAAAATAGCAATTAAAAAAGAGACTTACAAATTTAAAAGAGAGAGAGAGAGAGAGAAATGCCATACAATCAATAATTACAAATAATCAATAAAATCCTTAGAATATAATTCAATAAATAACACATTTTTAAATTAATAATGTAAAATAATAAAATCAATAACAGCTTGCATTAATCAAATTGTACATAACACTAATTTTAAATTTATTAAGACAGAGATGAAATATGTCATTACTAATAAAAAGATTATTATACTGATCACAACTTCTATTGATAAATGAATTTTTTGCAAATTTAGTTCTGGTAGCAGGGACATAAAAAGTGGATTTTTGTCTGGGATTAATATTTCGTGGACATTTAAATTGTAGTTTAGACAATAAATACGGCGAATCGATTTCGTTATTCAAGATCTTATATAAAAGGACTTGATCTCGTTGAGCACGTCGTTCAACTGCTGACATAAGGATAGAAATTTTCTTATTATTAATAGAAATGTTTACTGGGAGGTTCTTAATAAATCGATCATGTATACGTTCGATTCTACAAATATGATTTTTATACTGAGGGTTCCAAACAGAAGAAGCATACTCCAAGATAGATCTCACGAAGGTGTTGTACAAAAGAATGTGTGTAGACGGTTGCTTAAACTCTTTGGATATCCTCAGTACAAAACCCAGCATACGATAAGCTTTGTTAGCTATATAAGCGACGTGCTCATCAAAGAGTAACTTGGAGTCGATTATAACTCCAAGATCTTTAACCACACTAGCTCTGGAAATAATTTCTTTATTTAATTTGTACTGGTAATTAATAGTTAAACGTTTTCTAGTAAAAGTAATAACATTGCACTTTTTAATGTTCAAGAACAAAGAATTCCTGGAACAATAATCACTAAACCGATCTAAATCATTCTGGAAATCAATACAATCATTTATACCTTTAATAATTTTAAATATTTTATTATCATCAGCGTATAGTAAAAATTTGGAGTGCTCGAAAACTAGGTTAATATCATTTAAGTATACATTAAATAATAAGGGACCTAGATGGGATCCTTGGGGTACCCCAGATGGGACTGGAATAAAAGATGAACAGTAACCCTTTATAGTTACTGCTTGACTACGGTTACTAAGGTACGACTCAATCCAACGCAGAAGGTCGCCGTGTACACCAATGTATTTTAATTTTTCTAGAAGAATAAGGTGAGATATTTTATCAAAAGCCTTAGAAAAATCTGTGTACACGGCGTCCACCTGATATCCATTATCCATTGCACACGTAACAAAATCAGTGAATTCGCAAAGATTCGTTTCAGTAGATTTTCTGTTAATAAAACCGTGCTGTTGTTCAATAATTAAAGGTCTAATAACGGGTAACATTGTATCATAAACCATCTTTTCAAACATCTTAGGGATACAACTTAGTTTCGAAATAGGACGGTAATTTTTTTATGTCATGCTTATCACCGCTTTTAAAGATAGGTACTACATATGACCTTTTCCATTGAGAAGGCATAGTGCACGTCCGTAAAGATAGAGTAAAAAGAATAAATAAGGGTAATCTAAGGCTCTCATTACATCTCTTCAAGAATATAGCAGGTACACCGTCTGGACCACAGCCCTTGTTTATGTTTAATGATTTTAAGTATTTATCAACAGTCAGCATTGAAATATTAACAGAAGAAAGGTCCATGCTATTACAGCGAGGGTGAACGTCTACTTTAATATTTGGGGTATACTTAATGGGAGTCTGCTCAAAAGAAGAATAAAAATAGTTGTTGAAAAGATCGCTAATCTCTTGTCCATTATCTGTAGAAAAATTATCCAGGTAAAACATGTCAGGTAAGTCAGCGCTTTGCTTTTTAGATTTTACAAATGTCCAAAAGTATTTAGAGTCCTTAGCAATTGTGTTTTCAGCGTATTTCAGATAGTTATTATAACATTCGGTATCAACTACTTTTTGTCTCCTCCTCAGCATCCGAAAAGTAACAATAGTCACTATAATTTTCATAAGTTTTCCATTTTTTATGGACTTTTATTTTTTCCTTAGTAATTTTTTTTAACGCAGAGGTATACCAAATGGGATATTTATTATTAACAAGAACAATTTTAGTGGGAACAAGAGAATCAATAACACGATTAATGATTTCGTAAAATACTTCAACTGCACGCTCTATATCTAAAGACTTAAAACACTCCGGCCAATCAATTTCAAACAACCTTTTATTAATTTCATGATAATTCGCTTTACGGAAAAGTTTAACAACTCGTGGAGCATTCGTGAGAAAGTTAGATAGTAAATTGCTTAATTCAACTTCTAGAGCGGGGTGATGTGAATCTTCTTTAACTAAAGGTATTTCACAGTGTTTTACACTAATACAATTAGAATTGCTAATCACCAGATCCAAATATCGATTATTACCGTTAGGTATAATGTTAAACTGGTTTAAAGTTATTTATTCGTAAAAAAGTAGATAATAGGCTAACTTGAGAATTTGAATCTCTGGGTGTGTGTAACAGTTTAGTGACGTTAGTATCATCAACTTGAGACCAATTAGCGGCCGGGATATTGAAATCTCCAACTAATAAAAATGTGTCTTTAGGATTTAAAATGATTGCTTCGGATACTTGTTCATAAAATTTAATTTGATCATCAAGTTGCAACGCACATTGGGGAAAGTAACCGCAATATATTCGAAAGTTGGTAAGATTGTTGTTTGACTTAATGCCTATACAAATAGTAATAACATCTGATGAGCAAGTATTAGTGGAGGGTTGAACGGTTTACTTCTCTCACAGTTAAGCCATTTCGAACGGCAATCAGAACGCCACCACCTAGTTTATCATTCCGAGAATCATAATCACGATCGCATCGATAGACGGAGTATCTGTAGTCAAAGAGCTCAGAATCATAAATACCAGGCAACAACCATGTTTCTGTTAAGCAAATAATATCGTATTCTACATTCAATATATTAGAAAAAAATGAAGAGGTTTTAGAACGCAGACCACGTACATTTTGGTAAAATAAAATTATTTTAGAATCCATTGAAATATAATAATACTATAACAACATTACTAAGAATTATAAAGTGTAAAAATAAGAAACAACAATTTATCGACAGAAAATAATAATTCATTAAAAGTGGATTAAAATATTTGAACCCTGCATTCATCCAGTTAATACATTGAAAACAATACATAAAAACATTATTACCGCTAAGTAAAAAATGTAACAAATATTCATTAAATCTATTAAATTTCAAATAATGAATGGATAAAAAGAAACCTAATAATAGTTTAATTAAAATATCCATCTCTTTCTTAAAACTGCGAAATAAAAATATAAGTATATTAATACATTGAAAACAGTCCATAAAAACATTATTAATACTAACTAAAAATTTTAACAAATATTTATTAAATCTATAAAATTCCAAATAATAAATAGATAAAAAGAAACCTAAAAATAGTTTAATTAAAATATTCATCTCTCTCTTAAAACTGCGAAATAAAAATATAGGTATATTAAGAAATTTTATCAAGAATTGTACATGCACATAGAAATAAAAATGCAATAAATCAATAAATACATTATTAACACTTATATTATTCTTTTAAAATCATTTTCGGACTGAATGTGCAGAACAGGACTAGTGTCGTTTTTTCTCACCATGATGGAACAGTTCTTAACCCATACATATTTAAACTTCTTTTCACGAGCTAGATCCTTAGTCTTACGGAGGATCATTTTATTGAAACTAGTAAGGTGATCGTTAAAGTAAATGCGATTGCTATTACCTACATATCCGATATCACAACACTTTAAATTCTTCTTTTCCCTCAATCTAGCCAGAAAGTCGTCCTTTTTATATCGAGACAGGAAACGAATTATAATAGGTCTAGATTTTTTTGAATCGTTATGCTTTGGAGTGACTCTAGTGATAAAGTCAATATCTGTAGCAACATAATTTTTAACATCGGCAACATCGGCAATTTTACTAATTATTGTTAGTAAATTCTCATTTTTCGCTTCTGGTATACCGATTATCTCAATGTTTGAACGTCATTTATCTTAGATTTTTGTATTTCAATGTATAATAAGTACACTCTTAATTAATTTACTGTTTCCCTCAATTAAAATTCGAAGAAATCTATTGTTAACTGACACCTCAGGGTGTCCGCGGTCGTGGAGGGATTAAAATATGAATTAAATAAAGTTACAATTGCATTTTGTTGTGCCTTTGTAACATAGTATTTATTAAATGTGTTCTTCTCAATCTTTTTTACTTAAATATATGGTGCATATTTTGTGCTATGATATATTATAATATATACCGCTTTAGTTACATTTAACATAAAAATGCTGTGTCTTTAATATGTAATGGTAATCCAGTATTTTTTTTTTATAAAATGTTATTATGAAGGATATCAAAAAAATCTACATCTTGGCAAAAATTGTCCCAAGTGTCTAATTATCCTGGACTATGGTCCTAAACCACTACATATATTTCATATTATAACACCTATGTGTATACCTAAATATTGGTAAATCTATCATAGTAATTATAGCCTTACTCTAAAGAAGTAACAATAACCCGTATTCAATAAGTTTAATTTAAATACTAGCGGCTCACCCTCGCTTTGCTCAGGTTCATCGCTAGGTATGTTTTAAATAGATATAGTTATTAACCAGCATTAGTCATATAATTTTTTTTGTTAATAATATTGACATTAATATTTATACGATACTAACATCACTCAATTGTTTTGCCTTCCTGGAACCTTTCCACTAACACTTGAACTTTATGGTATGGTATAAAGTTCAAATTGACTTTTAAGTATTATTACGAATCTTTTGTATGGAAGTATAGAAAAATGTTGTTTTTAGACTTTTTCAGGCAATTTTTTAAATTTTTCTCTGTAAGAACCATCCTCGTACTTCAAGGAATATTCTAACAAAGAATTGGCGAAATCGGTTCAGCTGCTTTGAGATTTGCGCTTAACCAACACATTCTACGATTCATTTTTATATTATAGATTATTTGTTTTATTAATTAGTAACAATAACTGTATGTTTAATTTAAGGTATTGAAGGGTGAAGCTTCTGAAGAGGAGCGTAAGGTGGCCACACAGTTCCGTGGTCCACTTATGCGTGTAGAGCAACCAGCACCTAAATCATCTGCCCGTGTTATCACTGAAGAGGAGAAAGACTTCAGAGCCTACCAATATCTGAGAGGAGTAAGATATTACAATTATCTTTACTATATTTTATAAGTTTTAATAATAAATAAATATAAATGAAGGATTGTCTTAGTAGGCGTAACATGACATTATAATAACATTGTTTTTGAAATAAAATCCCCTTATTGTAAGTTATTTTTTGTTTAATCAAGTAAAAAGTAAAAATTCGAATATGACAAGACTTTTAGAAACAATTTAATAATATTCCTTTTTTGTTATAGGCTCGCTCTATTGCTAGACTTGTTGGAATCCGTGCAAAGAGATTGAAGGATGCTGCCGAAAATCCAGATGATGTCACTAAAGCTCCATCTGCAGTTAAAGAAGCTAAAGCTAAAAAGTGAACTGTCTAATAAACATTACGTAAAATTTTAATAAATGTCTTTTTTTGTCTACATACATATTTTAAAACCATTATCCATTTGTCCTTAAATTGGCTAGTGTCAGTGAAATTGGCCGCCGTGGCCGAAAATTTTTAATAGCTTCTTAAAAATAATAATTTTGCTACTTGTTACATTGTTTTCTACTAATATCTATATATAATCTCCCATATTCTTTGAAGAGTGAGTGAGAGTAAAAACATTCTGTAACCCAATATTACATAATATTGTGTTTTGGTTTTTGAAGTAAAACTTCTTTACGCACGCTTGACTTGGGGAGTAAGCTGGTGAATGCGTGGCGAGAGCGTTATGAAAAGTGTGATCAGGCGAAGCGAACGTTTGTTGCCATGGTAACCGTTGTTATTGTTTCACAAATGATATATAATATTATAATTTCTTAAAAGTTATTCTATAAATAATATGATTGTAATATGCCTAATATGCGTTTAATTATTTTTTATTACAATTTATCATTCCTTTTACAAACAAAGTTGTAACATATGGGATGAAAAAATCTTTAGCTATTTTTGTTCTGTTACGCCAAAGAAGTATAATAAAACGTAGTGGTTACGTTCTCTTTGAAGTATAACATCTTGCGTGCATACATAAGAACACACAAGTTTTTTTAGTATCTCACCTATCCTAATTATTTAAAACATGAATTGAATTTCATAAAGAGTACCGATAACCTATAGAAGTTTTTCTTCTAGCGCGTGTACACATTCATACACACACTCTTTAATTTTTTTTATCCACTATTATATTGCTACTATTATACAGCTACTCACCCTTGCTTCGCTTGGCTTTGTCCATAAGTACGTTTTAACGGTTTGTAAGGAATAGATAGATTATATAATAGGCATAGATGTATATCTGAAATAAACCATTTTTCATGATTTAAAACGATAGGCGTTGATGGCTTTTTGTTAATTATAACTACATTTTCTTGATTTTACTGATGTAGGGAGTTAAAGATTTGTTATATGTGCGATATACTGATATTGATTTAATTAGCGGGTTTAGTGTTAGGTGGTCCGTCCGACCAAGCGTAGGTTTTGCCTACTTAAGTTATAAAAACTCTATTGATAAGTTAAATACTCTGTGTTGGTAAATGAACATTTTTTTTATTGTTTTCAAACGTTATAAATTATAATCAATTCACTCTCGCATTCTCGTTGACGTCGTCACTCGTGACTTGACGAGTTGACGCACCATTGCCTGCTTACCAAAGAGTATAGTTATAAACTGCTTACCTACCCTACACACAATACACATACATAAAAATATAATAAATAAGTATAGGTAGTTATACCTACATAATTAAGTTTTCGTGTAGTATTTAATGTAGGTAGGTACTTTCTATTAATTTTCTATAAACTAATTAAAACGAAACATGACGTCAGGTGACCAAAAATTGTCCACAATGAAGTGTAAAACGCACTTCTTTTATTTTTGTAGGAGAGTTTTTAACCGTTTAAACCGATTATATTATATTTGGGGTTTAAATCGGCAACATTTTATTTAAATCGGTTGTTTTACATGTATAATTATAGGTATTATGAGTTTTGTGGGTTGTACTATAACGTGTTTGCCCGTGGGAATTAAATAATTTTCCACGGTAAAAAGTAGTCTTTGTCTCTCCAGCCCTCCATCTCCACACAAAATATCACGCCAATCAGTCATTGTTTAGATGTGAAAGATGGATAAACACACTCACATTTATATTAGTATGGAATCAGTCTGTTATTACAACGGTTGTATTTTACAAAAGAATACAGATAATCATAAGACTCAAGTCATTTTTTGTGTACCCACAACTCGGTATCTGAAAACCAGGGGGTGATGTAGGTACTTAATACGGTTGTACCAGAATGTTTTTGGTGGCACCAGTTCAGTTGGCGCCACTGGCGAGTAAGGTTCTACCACTGACGTTAATATAGTATTTATTAATGCGACAGGGCAAATAATATAATAATAATATTATAACAATAATTGTTAGCGCAGAACCAGTTTTGGTGGATTTTATTTTAAATAATTGATAATAATCAAATAAATAAAATATTTACTTTTTAGCTCTTTTTTTAAAGCCCTAACATTCATTAAGCATACGGTACGGCTTCCATAATTAATCAGAAATGACTAATCTTTATAACAATCATGAATAATAATTAGTGAAAATCCGTGATGAAAAGCAGGCTAGCACCTCTCGCGGCGATTTTCTCGACCGTGCGCGAAATGTAGAGGGCAGCACTATTGTCCTCATAGTGTTTTATTTCCGAAGATAATGGGATCAAAACATTCATTTGTAAACACAGAATATTTATAAAAATGGAAAAAATAATAAAATATGTATTTCAACCAGTTACCAATAATATTGTACATGGTCAGAATAGTGAGAAAGGTAAAAATTTTTCAATTCCAACCATGTTTATGGTGTAGTAGAAAAAAGTAATAAAAGTGAAACTGTCTTTACCGCAAGTTTTTTATTATTATAATAATAAACAAGGGCTTACTCTTGATTTTCATCTTAGCTCGGAGGCATATAGTTTGCCCAGAAGCCTGTTAGCACGCACCTTAAATAGCTTCAGGATATACGCATTCGGAGAAACAGACGCAGGCAGAGCTTATTCCACTTCTTGGCTGTGCGCATTATAAAAGATGACCAATATGTACCAAAAACGAGCGTGTTTAATGTATATGATGTGATAATTATGGATTTTATAAAAAATACTTTAAAATACTTCGTGTAATCAATATAAAAAAACATTTTTTTTCTTGACGTAAACATTATTGAGAAATGATCCCAATAAATACAGGTTTTTGCCACTAGTTGGCGTAAAACTGTAGACGCACCGTACCAATCTATACATATAATAAAATTGTAACTAAGCCAAATCTGTAAGTTAGATATTTTTTGGAAAATCTTATTGAAATAGACATTATTAATAGACCAAATCAATAGTTTTTAGAATTTTTATCTATCTGTTACCGCGTCACGGAAAAGCCACTGGAGGGATTTTGATGAAATTTGGTATGGTGATAGCTGGTTATCCAGGTCAACATATAGGATACTTTTTACCCTGGGAAAATGTCTCATTTCTGAGAAAAAATACAAAAACTGCAATATAAGAGTATTGTCGGCGACGGAAACTTTCATTCGAGTAACGTGTGTATTAATATAGGGACAATGTCATTTTAGCGTATTTATGAATAATTGTTTGTAAATATGAAATCTCATTCTTATTAGATTTATTATGTTAAAATAAGTTCTAATTAGTGTAATAAGGTTAGTTTAGAGTATTTTTGCTTATTTGAATCATATAAGACTATTTAACATTAATTTTGAAAGGAATAGGTACGTAAGTAAAATGTTAGCATATAATTACGTAACTTGAAAATGAGATTTTTTGTTTCTTGCAATAGCATAATAGTTTATGTTTTAAATAATAGATTTTATTATAAAACTTATAATAAAACAAGAATTAGGTCGATAGGACTATCCGTTCAAAAGTTATAAGGGAAAATGTATAGTAAAAATGTAGCAACTTAGAAATTTAGATATTTTTGTTTTAAGACTTTTTTAATTAATTATTATATATTGAATATTTATGTTTTAATATTGTATAATAGTATGTAAGGCATGTAAATAAATAAATATGTGTAAGGTGTTTTTACTGAAAACATAAAATAAAAGGACTCTCAAGGTTTCGGTTTAGGGAAATTTTATTCGAAAAATGAGCTCAAAGTACGCGGCTCTCTGTAAGGTATTAACGGGCCAAATAAAAGGCGAGCCATTTCTCGATTCGAGTCAGTCGCAAGACAGCCACCGAAGAGGCAACAACTAAAAGGAAAAGGAAGAACCGAAACCAAGAGAGAAAAAAGGAAAAATTGTGTTTTTATTTCATCGCCTCTAAGTATAGTCTCCTGTCAACGAAGAAACCCTAGTGGATCGGGACCCAAGCTACGCATTCAGGGGTGCGTGGTGGCGTACATTACCAGCGAACGGACATACTGCCGTGTACGCCAAGAACGTCTGGGAGATTGTCCAGGTCGACCTCCGGGTACTAGACATACCCTGGTTCTGGTCGTCCGAAACAGTTGGTCCTTCGAGCCGGATCCCTGCTAGAAGAAGTTCAGAAGAAACAGAAGATTGCGTTCAAGATGCCGGTAACCAGGTCGCAGAAGGATGCCCCCTCACGTCCCGGGTCCCGTCCTTCAGATAGGGACGCGACAGATGGAACGTCGGGATCAGAAGGGGTCACGTCAGCGTCGGCGTCATCGGGAACTGCAACTACATCGAACACTTCTTCGGGTACCACGACCACGGAAGGGCACCACAGTGCCGGAGGGACTACGGTTACGACTTGCAAACTAACGGGCGGCGTCTATGGAAGGCTAACAGCGGCAGGGGCCCCTACGTACGCAGAAAGATGCTGCACAGAGGATGACCAGGAAGAGCCAAGAAGATGTACCTGGAAACGGATTGTTCAAGGTCTCCTCCAAGACCCTGAAACCGATGGGGATCAAAGCTCGTTCGCGCCAGGTCCACGAAAGACCACGAGTTCCTCGGCCAGAAAGACGCCGAGCTAGAAGCAAAGGAAGAGTTGGCCACGTCCGCCTGGAAGTTGAAGCAAGCACAGGCTGAAGACTAAGCTAGCCCGGTGTCAGATTGGAGATGGCACAGCGTGTGAAGAAGAGGAACTGCCGTGCGATGAAGACCTGGAAGACAGAACAGCACAGGTGCCAGAACTGGATCGAGGACGTTCTGTGATGGAGGATGGCAACAAAGTTTCAACCAGAGATGCGAGGTCCCACACCCCTTGGGAAGAGCCACAGAAGATGAAGCCTCGAAGCAGAACTCCTCAACGAGAGAGCTTACGATTGAAATTCAAGCACTGACGGCAGCATTGAAGGAAGCTACTTACAACGCGATGGACCACAGCAGGACAGCAAACCTACATTCACGAGTTACCCTACTTCGGACGGCAACAGGCCAGCGAGTGGATGGCCTTCAAGGTTGTCTATGAAGATACAGCATCGATGTTCAACAAACGTCCAGAATATTGCTCGGCTAAAGAAGAAAGCCACTGAAGGGCAACGCAAAGGAGAAAGCTATCAAAGAGTCTGGCTGTACTCCGAAGCCTCTATCCGATGAAGTGATTCAGCCCTCAGAAGAAGATATGGAAGACCAGAGGGCACTGGTTCTGGCAGAGTTGGACAAGGTCAAAAACGATGCCGAAGATTTTCTGAAAACTCCCCAGAAGGACATTATGCCTCTTCGCGCGAGCCCAGATCAGCAAACAGCGTAGCGGCAATAAAAGGATTGAAGAAACCACAGTACCTGCATTTCACCTGAGATGGTGAAGAACAAATTAATTGAGTAAGATGCCTACGATCCTCAAGTTCCGATGGTACGACTTCATTGAAGAACAAACAGAAAGAAAAAGGGCGAGTTCTCCGACCTAACACTGGTGTCCAAGTTTCCTGAACAGAGAAGCAGACAAGTGTGGAGCCTATGCATCAACAGAAGAGAAGAGCGGGTTCAAGACGGACCTCATCGACTAGCAACGCAATTCAACTAAAGGAACAAAAGGACTTCAAAGAAAAGGTTTCAAGATCAGAGAAGACTTGCCCCATGTGTGAGGGTGAACACTTCCTCGTCGGGTGTCAGAAGTTCCTGAAGGCGTCTGTGCAAGATCGATGGGCAATAGTGAAGAAAAGCCGCGTTTGCTTCAAGTGTTTACAAGGGACACATCGGAAGGAGAGCTGCAAGAAGCCGTCGTGCAAGGAATGCAAGAGGTGGCATCATCATCTGCTGCACGTCGAGACAGAGAAAAGTTCCTCGGAAGAACAGAAGAACAAACCACAAGAAGTGGCGAGCATCATGGCATCGGTGAATGCGGTCAACAACGCAAGGGCATACCTGAAGATAATTCCGATAGAAATCTTCGGGTCAAAAGGATCAAAGAAGATATTGGCCCTCATGGATGAAGGGTCAACAGTGTCGCTGCTAGACCAGAAGGTAGCAGAAGAAATCGGCGCTCAAGGAAGAAAGGAGGAACTGGTCATCGAGACTGTTGGAGGCAGGCTGATAAGGAAGGAAGACTCTCAGATGCTGGACCTTACGGTGAAGGGGATTCATCAGAAGACCAAGAAGACCTTGAGAAGAGTCCGGACCATCGAAGAGTTGAAGCTTGCACCGCAGTTCCTAGAAAAGAAAAGGATAGAAGAGTGTCAACACTTGAAGAAGATTGCTGACTCTCTATATTATAAGGGGGAGTCACCACAGCTGCTCATCGGTCAAGACAACTGGGAGCTAATCGTGACTCAAGAAGTAAGAAGAGGGAAACCAGGACAACCAGTCGCTTCAAGAACAGGACTTGGATGGGTGCTCCACGGGTCAGACACTGGAGGCGCGAAAGTGGTGCACTTCTTAAACACGTGTCTACATGTCAGCACGCCAGAAGAAGAGATGCATCAAGCCATCAAGGATCACTTCGCAATCGAAGCACTTGGAGTACTACCAAGAAGACCCACTACGGATTCAGAAGGAAGAGCACTCACCATCCTAGAGAAGACCTGCAGAAGACTAGAAGATGGTCGATTTGAAGCTGGACTTCTATGGAAAAATGAAGATGAACAGATGCCTGAAAGCTACACGTCTGCCAAGAACCGATTGTTCAACATTGAAAAGAAGATAGACAAAGACCCTCAGCTGAAGGCAGAATACAATAAGCAGATCCAGCATCTAATCGACAGCAAGTATGCAGAAGAAGCACCTGGTGGACAAGAAGATTCAAAGAAGACATGGTACCTCCCTCATTTCTCCGTGGTACATCCATTGAAGAAGAAAATAAGGATCGTCTTCGACGCTGCAGCCAAGTCTAAAGGGAGAAGCCTCAACGACGCTTTACTACCGGGACCAGACCTACTGCAATCGCTCTTCGGGGTATTACTGAGGTTCCGGCAAGGCCCGTTTGCAGTGGCAGCCGACATAAAGGAAATGTTCCTGCAAGTTCGCA